ACAAAAAAAAATTATTTGAAATCAAAGGATATAGATAAAAGGATATAGATAAAAAAAATTTGTGTATGAAAAGTAAGCCTATATGCAGTGGCGTAACTACATTTTTTAGGCCCATAAGCGAATTATAATTAAGGAGCTCCTACTAATATCTTTTTATACCCTTTACACGAAAAAGTGTAAGAAAGGTATATTAGGCTTGTGAAGATTTTCGTATCGTCTGTTTGAAGTCTGTTTCAGTATCTAAACAATGTTTCAATTTATTCTGTGTATCACAATTAGCAAAGGCATCATTTAAATCGTTTACTCCTTCAGTTTTGTTTTCATTTATTTTAAGAAAATTGTCCTGTTTTGGTAATTTCTTTAATGTTAATAATTAATGCATAAATTTATAATGGGGCCCCCTAAGTTTGGGGGCCCGAAAGCGTTGCTTCCAGTCGCTTCCCTGTAGTTACGCCACTGCCTATATGTTAATATGGAAAACTATTGTTCATACAATCAACATATTTATTATTATATTTGTTTATTTTACTGTAAAACGAAGTTTAGACAACTTTTTAAAGATTATTTGTTTATATTATTTTTTTAAAACAAGCCTACAACATTAAATACATCGGTTAAAATAAAAGAAACGAAGGATACAAGGAAAACATTTTTGTATGGTATATCAAAGGTATGTCTTTGGGTTAACAAGGAAATCTATATTTTATAAAGATAGTCCATTTTTTTATGTAAGAAAAATTTAAATTAAAAATAGAAAATATTAGAAATACGTAACAGGAATCCTTATAAGATATCTGTCCTGAAAATGGATCTCATCAGGAAAATATCTTACCTTATGAAAGCTTACAACTTTAACTATAAACAATTTTACACAACTTAAGGATATTAAGTGTTCAACTAGCAATAATGCAGATAAGATAGCGTTTAAATTTTAGTTCGAAGGTTGTTCTTTTATTTGACCTCTTAATTCTCCTAATTTTATCTCTGATCGTTTGTTCATTAGAAACCTTATAGAAATTTAAAAGAGATTATAATATATTTCTATATTTGTTAGATTGAAATATATCAAAATATTTAAATGATCTCAATCCATAGATAATACAACCCTTCTCATCTTGATAGTCAAAATTTTAAGTAATCATTTATAGTTTTGTATTCTTGCAAATATCAGAATAAGAAAAGTTTTAAAGGCTTCAATTAATTTATTTAACTAACGTGTAGTCTTGAAAAAACAATTTATTATCTTACGTTTTTTATATAACGTATGAAAAATAAATAAAAAACGACATTCGATAATTTATATATAAGATGAAAAATGGGAAGGTATCTATAATTTCAAAAAAAAAATGGTAATATAGATAATGGACCTTTATTGATTAACATTTAATTGTTTTTCTATATATGTGCTAAGTTGAAATGTGCATTAAAAATATATTAACCATTTAAAAATGTTTTGAAATAATTACTAAAAGTATTGAATACTAAAAAATAAATAATAAATAATTCTGTATTTTTTATTAAATGTGTCATTTAACTCGACTTTTCCGAAACTTTAGAATATGCTTTACCGCATTGATTAGTGCTAGGACCACTTGTCCTCACTTCTTTCTTATTATTAAAAAATACTTTTATATTAATTTTCTCAAAAATTCTTTTTATCTTTTAAAATATGATCTAAGACAATTCTAATATCAATGCCGTGATAAAGCTCGTACAGCTCGTGGTTTATTCGGGATGGTCGACTTTTCGACAATTCATCTACCAAAAGGTTTTATGGTTATTATTATTAAATACTTAGCCAAATTTGCATCCGATAACATATTTAATTTATTTTTAAACGCTTAAATAATATACGTAAATATAATTAAAAAAATAATTGCGTTACGGTCGAAAGTTCTAAGGTGTCGAGTGGACTAAAAGCGGTTATAATGTTTAGTTTAGCTTTTACTTACAATGTTTTCCAAACATAAAAATTGTGGAATTATAATTTTTTTTATAGAAATATTATTTGTCATTAAAGTAAGTTATATAATAAATAGTCCTTTATTAACCATATTAAGATTTTATTTAATATATTTTTTAATGTTATATATTTAGGTATCTTCTGGTATTTTTAAACTGACAAATGTGCACTGCATATCGGAGGATAAGAATTTTTCTGAATTCTCCATGTGTCGGTTGAAAGCTGTAAAACGAGACGTTACTGAGTTTTCTTTTAACTTAAATATATATAAGCCAGCAACTGATATATTTGTTAGTATCCGCGTATATATCTATGATATTATCTAACTGACATTTTCAAAACTATTATTTAATTAAGGTGAATGTGGAAGTTTTACGAAAATATAATCACTTTGCACCGTTTGGAATTAATTTTACTTGGGATGCCTGTGCGTTTATAAGACATAGACAAAATAAAATAATATCTGTTTTTTATAATCTGTTTGCTGATTATACAAACATAAATCACACATGTCCATACCAGGTAAAAATGTTTAATTACTTTTCATTTGTTTATATAATAACTTTTACCTGTTAAGGGTGAAGTAATTATGCGTCAATTTATACCTCGCCATGAAAAACTTACTGTTACAATACCATCAGGCGATTATCTTCTTAAGTCGGCATGGATAATGAATAAAAAACTACGAATTCGAGTAAATGTTAATTTTGTTTATAATGAACCTAATAAAATATAACTCTAATTTTGTTTTTTGTTTATCTTTAACAAAAGACTACCATATACAAAATTTTAGGTAAGTAATTCTCAAGAAAATATATTTATTTGAAATAATCTGAAACCTAACAATTTAATGAATAATATTTAATAAAACATAAAATAGTAAACAGATATTATATATAATAAAAAAATGTTCTTTTTCAGTTTCCAAACTTAATGAATTAGTAAAACCGGTTTAAATTACTATCTCTATTTATAACTTCTTTGGAAAAGTTCTTTGGAGAGATAGATAAGTTAACTTTCTTTGTTAAGACAACTCTAGTCTTTTGGACAAATTTTATATATAATTTTAAATTAGTTTTTTTAAATTACTAATTACTGGTCGTCATAATAATTTATTATACTTTTAAATATAAAAATATATATTTTTATATATCATTGAAATGTCTGATGCATGCATTTAAAGATCTAAATATTTAATAGACACCATGCCTGCTGGGTTCCGCGTTTTTAAATATCTCTACAAACGGAGATAATTCAAAAGCTGTGGTGTAAACAATTGGGTTTTTAAATGAAAAAGAATTAAAATACTGCAATATAAACTAGTTCATTAATTAATGGCTATATAATATACATTCTTATATGATTAAAAGTTCCTTAAATATATATATATATATATATATGTAAATGTTTATGTGTTATATTAAATGTTTATAAATCTACAATATTATTTGGCCATATTTTTGAAAATATATTAAAAATCATTTATTAATAAATTCTTCTTTTAATATTGTTACTAATATTGACAACTTAGTATGACAACTAGAAAGCTAAATCACATAAATTCTAAAGCGGATTTAAAAAATTTGGAAATCAAATTGGATCATCACGCAAACGTATTAAAAAATATGTGTAGGTTTTTATTTGGTTAATATTTTTTATTTATGACAATTTATCATAAAAGAAAATATTAACCGTAATAAAATTTTAAAATACAATCTAATGGTTCTTATATGGAATAAAATTAGCATCTACGATAAAACAATATCATTGGTATATGTCTTAAAAAGAAACGCTTCTAAAAATAATTACAATTAAGGTAGTTCCTGAACACTATAAATAAAATATTTAATATAATAATATACAACGCATTAGACTACTATAATATTCATGTTTCATTTTTATATATTATTTAATGCATTTTAATTTTAATTGACTGAACAAAAATTTGAATAATATTTAATTAATATACATATTTTTTAATATTGTAATATTAGTCATTTTTAAAAAGTTATAAATATTATATTGAATTTTAAAAGTTATAGAAATTTTATAATATAGAAATTTGTTACTAATAAAGTAGATTAAATTATACTAAAAATGTAAATTAAATTTTAAAGATAAGTTTACATATATGGCATGTTTTTAATTGCGATAATATATTTTAACATGTATAGTATACCTACCCTAAAAGTAGAGGTATTTAGATCCACCTTAGTAACCTGGCAATCAGTAAAATTCTGAGTGATATATTATATTAATTTAAATTGAATTTCAATTTAATATTTTAAATCTCAAGCTCTAGTGTTGTTTTAACAAATCAACTTAATTAATTAACTTAATAATTTTTTTACTTTACTGAGGGATTAGCTTTGTCTAAATAGTACTATTATAAGACTTGATAACACAATAATATTTCACCGGGCTTGGTCGAAATGCACCTATTGATAAAGTATTTTACATATGTGGTTATTTCTATAAACAATAACATAGTTATATTAAAATCGGGTTTATTAAAATGAGTACAGTATTATCAAATTATTTAAAATGCTAAACCCAGTACAAACAATATTTATTTGTATTTATTATTTATAATGCCTAATTAACTTCATTTGGTACAATTTTCTCTAAAGCATATTACTAACATATTTTTCGCATAAAATAATTGACATATAACAACTCTATATAAAAATGCCGAAATATTTTTTATAAAGTTTCATATTAATATTTTCTACGAAATATATGTTAGTAACAGGCTTTAAAGAACTGTGGCAGATAATAAATAAAGTTATATTAATTATTGAATTTATTTAATTAATTATTTTGTTCTCTGAAATACAAATGAAGTTAATATGACAGTCAGAATTATAATGTAAATGATAATTCAGTTATGACATATATTTACTTAAACATTATTGTTATTGAAATTTTTACCTGTGCGGAGTGCTCCGCCCTTTTATTTCTTGAGTGTTAAAATTCTTAAAATTAATTTTAAAATTTGACATTGATGTTAATATCTGCAAATTGCTATTAATATTCGCGTCAATATTCCACTCAGGTAACAAGCACATTTCGCTACTCTCCATAAACTCTCCAAATAATTTTATACAAATATTTGTACGCTTGGTAATAATTACTTAGTACTGAAACAGATTTAATGAAGCGTTTGCTGTGAAAATAAGTCGGTATAAATTTTGTGCTTAAAGCGGATTTTAAAAAGATTAAAAGGTATTATTAATAATAGTGTGTTTATTATCCTAAATTTCTTAAAAAAAATGTAACTTATATCAATTATTTAAATATAAAAGTTAAAATGAATTCAACAACATTTTGTCTACGTAATATGCAAAAGCAATCGATTTTTTGCGCCTGATACTTTGTGGTGTTAGAGTGACGCTTGCAAAGGTTTTCTAAACGATTTCAAATAAAATATAATTTAATTGTTATAAAATTTATATAACTTAGTGTAATTTTGCAACATAATGACTGTGTATTAAATGATATTTGAGGTTATGTTGTTTTAATATCGCTTTCAATGAAAATTCTAAAACGCTACGTCATAAAAAAGTAAATGTGTTGATATTAAATTTAATCATTTATGTTATAATATTATAGATGGCCGATTCAGATGATGAATACGATCGTAAACGCAGGGATAAGTTCCGTGGAGAGCGTAGTTCTGGTGATAGTTATCGCTCTGAACGACGTGATGAACGCCGAACTGCCGGTAGTAATTCACGTGATGACTGGCCCGAAAGGTGTGTAACACAATAAATTAAATTATTTCTTACATATAATAAATTTTGTTGTGTTTAGAAATCCTTTTAGAGGAGGAGGTGGAGGCGGTGGTAGAGCCAGGCCAGAATATCGTGATTATAGAGGAGGGCGAGATAGGTACGGGTCACCTGGCAGAGATATGCCACCAGCGAAACGTATGCGTTCTGATTGGGGTGATGATATACGTCCACGTTATGCCGGTAAGAAATGGAATTTAAACTAATTATAAAGGAACATTGCTTTGTCATAAATATATACGTTATAAATTATAATATATTCTTTAAATGAATATGAATCTTACAGGTTATGACCCGTACATGATGCAAGCTTGGAATGAACATTATGCACATAGTATGCATAATGCGTATGGTGCACACTTACCTCATGCTTCAGTTCCATCACGTGATCAAACAAGCAATAATGATACATTAACTCAACCTGCAATGCTGACACTCAAACAGTTCCTTGACACACAAGATGACAGCATATCTGATTCCGAAGTTCTAAGAAAGTATAGTGACTATAAATTGGACTTTAAACGACAACAATTGAATGAATTTTTTGTAACACATAAGGATGAAGAATGGTAAGCATTGTATTGCAAACTGAAAAGAAGCTAAATTAAATTAATTAAATAATGCATTGAAATGATCGCAAAAACTTTATATATCTTTAGTACAGTTCAGTTTTCTTTTACTAAATTATTTTATTTAAATTTAATATTATATTATAAAATAACAGCTAATTTTGTAAAATTTTTTAAATGGTATAATTAAGTTTTCTTCTGCAGCAATTTTATATGGCGAACTTTAAATTTGCTGTTGATTTCATTTATTTAGCAGCAGATGTGACAATGAGTTCAAACGCATTTCTACAAGATATGGTCTTTCGATTGAAACTTTATATCATATGCGTATAATAATACATATATGTGTATACATATGTATGTATATATATCTCAGATAATATATATATTTTTTTAATAATTGCATTTGGCGAGCAATGCCAATGCTAGTTTGAATTAATTTCGCGTTTTAAGTTTATTGCGCTTTTAAATTACAAATACGATAAAAAATTTTAAAACTTATAATTGTGAAGAAGGTAAGATTTTGGTAATTTACTTTAAAAGTACAAATATGTAATGTAAAATAAATTTGTAACAAGCATAAAATATATGTGTTATTATAAATATATCCAGCAGTGCAGCCAGTTCAGTTAGCTTAAATAATTTATTGCTCAGAGCTGTTCATTACTCCCAAGTTGTTAATGTTAGCATATATTTTTATATTAAAATTAATAAATTATATATTTAAAATACTTATTTATTAATTATATAGTAATATAGTATCAGTTTGCAAAGAAAAGGTTCGACTTATAGAGACTTCGAGTTAAATAATTTTTTTGTAATTGTATGTAATTCGGTTTCTAAATCCTGGAAAAGTTCGATTTATGGAAATTTGACTATTTTTACTTTCATATACATACTTTGGACATATTCTCAAAAAAAAAAGTTTTAATAGAATTACAATACTATAGCTATGCTCTTCAGAATTTTTTACACAAGGTATCAATGATGAGTTAAAGTTTTTCACTTTTGGAAGTAGAAAATCTTCTGTTGTTATATTTTTGTAATAAGAAACGTTAAACATTAATGCGCCCAGTTTCTCAATACTTTCAAAATGATTTGTGATCAAAAATGTTTCTTAAAAAACTTTTTTCAAAATCAAATACAAAATCTAGACTGAATACGTTCAATAGAAATAACGTTTATTCCCTATAAGTGACATATTACTATTATTAAACTAATTAATCGACAGTATATAGTTTGAACCTAGTCTTGAAAGTGTTAAACATTCTCACTAAAATTACTTTTCTACCTTTAGCTAATAAATTTCATTTTCCATTCAATCCTTCGAAATATCGAATTTATTTCATTTAAAATTAAAAACAATTTCAGAGAAATGCACATTTACCAATTAAAATATTTGCAAACTTGATAACAACTTGTCGAAAGTACTCACAGAAATTTTATTTCATATTTCTTAAATGATCAGCGTTAAGATTTATTTATATTTATCACATAATATCTATACATGTAATTCAAATGTATATTTTTTTCTTTAGGTTTAAGAGCAAATATCATCCCATCGAAAGTGTAAAGCGAAAGGAAGAGCAATTAAACTTTCTAAAGGTAAATATTTTTTTAATAATATATATAAAACATAAATGACATATGCTATTCTTTAAATTTCCCTTAGAAACGAGTAGAAGTTTTCACAGAGCTATTAGATGATGGTCAGGTACAAAAAGTTTCAGTTGATACAAATCAAACTGAGCCATTATTACGTCTACTTGATACTGTCGTTATAAAACTCGAAGGCGGCACTGAGGACGATTTGAAAATATTGGATGAAAAACCAAAGGAGATAATACTACCAGATCGTTTCGTTGCAGATAAGAAAAAAGATGAAAACGATGATGATGTTATTATAACTTCTGTTGGAAAAAAACAAGATGATTATGAGCCAGCTAAAATAATATCACCTCGCCCAATGCGACGAGAACAGGGTTCCGATGAGGATAATTGGGACGAGGATGACGATGATGATGCTAGCGACAAAAAGTGTGTAGATCATAAAGAGCTGCCTGAGAAAATAAAGCGTATTAAATCTCATAAACGTAAACGCACAAGTTCTGATTCAAGTTCAGATTCATCAACAGATTCTGATTCAAGTAGGGAAAGTTCTAGTGATGACGATGATGCAGATGAAAAAACTGAAAATAAATATGATTTGGAAAGCGTTAAAAATGAGGAAGAAGATCGAAATACACCAAATGATGAAAATGATAATCAAACAACAGAAGAAGTTAAATTAAATTCACCCGAAGAAACACTCAATGAAAGTGTTGAAGACAAAATTGATGATGATTCTGAAGTTAAAAAAGATGACAGTAAAGACATTGATGCTGTATTGGCAATGGATACTAATGATGACGACAAGGTTGAACAATTGCAGGATATTTCTATCAATAATGATTCTGAAAATGAGAAAGCGTTAGAGAAGGAAATTGAGAATGAAAAGAAAGAAGAAGAAGAAGAATCTACAGCTGATAAAGACAGTAATCTACCAGAAACTATTGATCTTGACAAAGAAAAAGATGGGCCACAACCACGCGCCTTGCATCGCACGTCTTCAATATTTTTACGTAACTTAGCTCCAGCTATAACAAAAACAGAAATTGAATCGATTTGTCAACGGTATAGTGGTTTTCTTCGTGTTGCTATTGCTGATCCATCTGTAGAAAGGCGTTGGTATCGCCGCGGTTGGATTACTTTTCAACGTGATGTTAATATAAAAGAAATATGTTGGAATCTGAATAATGTACGCTTACGTGAATGTGAAATGGGCGCAATAGTCAATAGAGATCTAAGTCGACGTGTACGACCCGTAAATGGTATTACTGCACATAAAACCGTTGTGCGTTCTGATATTAAAATGTGCGCGAAAATTGCACTAAATTTAGATGAAAAGCATCGACTTTGGGTAAGTCTTTAAGGTTTAATTTTTTTTTTAAATTGTAATTTTTATTTATGATAAATATTTTTTATAGTGTGATTTGAATGCAGAAGCAAACGGCAATGATAATGCAAGATCCAATGGTAATGCTGATTCATCAACGTATGGTTTCAAATCGAATAATCCAGTTCTACAAAATATAACTGATTTTCTAATTGAGGAAGCATCTGCGGAAGAAGATGAACTTTTAGGCATATCAGGTGATGCTAAAGACAATGAGGGTGAAGTTATTGAACGTGATCCACAATTATTATCAGTTTTGGATAATCTTATACTTTATTTGCGTGTTGTGCATTCGGTTGATTTTTATAATCACTGTGAGTATCCATATGAGGATGAAATGCCAAATCGTTGTGGTATTATACATGCACGTGGACCACCGCCAACTAAGATTAATGCAAACGATATACAGGATTATATAAAAACATTTGAAACTAAATTACAAACGCTTCTAACTCAACCGAAAACAGTTGAAGATGAGGAATTAAAAAATTTGGGAGCTAAAGATCCAGAAACGGAAGTTGAAAAATTTGTATTAGCTAATACACAAGAGTTATCAAAGGATAAATGGCTTTGCCCATTGTCGGGTAAAAAATTCAAAGGTCCAGAATTTATACGCAAGCATATCTTCAATAAGCATTCCGAAAAGGTCGAGGAAGTGCGTAAGGAAGTTGAATACTTTAATAATTATTTAAAGGACCCTAAACGTCCGCAACTACCAGAGCATCCTGGTACTAATAAGCGCACAAATTCTGAGTCAAGTGGCGGGTAAGTTTAATATTAGTTTTTTTTAATATTGTTTGTAATCATTTGTAGTTTATCTTTATGTTGGTTTGTATGTTTGTTTATTATTAAAATTAGTTGTAACAAAATCTGGAATCGTCTAAAATATTTAATTTATAAGCTTTTACTATATTAATGATAATAATTTTTATTATTACAAAAATATTTGTTAAAAATACTATTATCAATTATTAATATTGGAATTTTGTTTATATAGTTACAGACCACATATGTATCCGCCTGCGTATGCTGCTCCTTACGGTGCTTATGCTCCACCTTTGATGTTGGCAGGAAGAGGAGGTCGTGGATTTGCTAACCCCCGCAGGTAATTATATTAAAACTATTTTACACATACATAATGCATTTAGTATGCATTAAGATTACTATGTAGATCTTAAGGTATAATTATATTTTAAGTGAAACATGTATATTAAGTCAAACATATATATAAAAACTTTTACAGAGATATGCCATTGGAACACCACCGTCGTATTATTGGTTATCATGATTTGGATGCACCCGTGAATTTTGATATGTTTGATTAAATGCAAAACATAGTGCAAATATATAAAGTGATCGTGCATAATATACAATATATACACACATGCAATATTAAATATCCAAAAATACATATATATATATTAAAATATATATCGCAACAACAAACCGTGTTTAAAATACAAAATATTTTATGGAATATAAATTACGTACAATTTTATTTTCTAAAAACATAGAAAAAAAACAACAAAAAAAAAGAAATAATAAAACAAAGAATATTTAATTTAATTGCCAAATCTGCATTTGGGTAGTGTTAATAATACTTTTAAAATTCTGTATGTAAAATTAACGTTTTATAAATACATAATATTTTCATGTTTATATGTTTACAGACCTCATAAAGAATATCGTCAATTAATTCAGTACAGGGACTTGGACGCCCCTCAAGATGCAGTCGATATGTTGTTTTGAAATAATTTATCTATACACATTTAGTTAAATTTGAATAAATAACTAACGATCATTTGTATATTACATATACTTATATTTACTTTCAATATGTACGATGTTAATGTGTTAGAAAGAACAAAAAAAAAAAAACAAATATCAAATTTTATAAACAAACTTATTTAATATAAATGACAAAAAAAACAATTTACAAAACTTTTAATTCAATGCTAGATTTTAGTTTGGAACCAGGTTGTTTTATATGACTAGTATGTAGACAATCTGTATTAGCCATTCATCATAGAATCTTTATCCAAAATATGGAAACTAGTGTTTTCATATATCACACGGCACTGCTTTTCGTAATCAACAATTCCATGTTGTTAAGTGCTTTTAGTATAGCGTCACTTAATTTATTACCAGCTATATTATCCAACTCTTTTTCCAAAACTTTTGCTGCCTTTAGTAGATGGTCACGTGATAATTGAAAATCGCAAATTGCTGCGTTCACATCAGCTTGTGTCTTATCTTTTTTGGCTACCAAACGTTTGCCGCGCTCCGTTAGAATCGTATGCATTTCATATAAGATAATACCAACATAGATTGATAGCCGTATAGTGCTTGGGTCCAGCTTTTCGCATGTACTGTACAACTCTTCGCATATTTGCAGTTTTTTGTCCAATGTGCTGTTATTCAATTTATCCATTGTGTAGCCAGACTCAGTGCCATATAATTGTATTAAAGAGTGCTTCAGACTGAACATGTGGTAATGGTTAGGATGTAAAAATTTAGATAATTTATCTTGCAAAGTTTCAAGCTGTTTAATAGTCGGTTTTCGTGCCAACAAATCTTCAACTTCATTTGTTATTTGGGTCAATAAATAGCGAACCTAGAAATAAATTAATACTGTACTATATAATATAAATAAATACCATCTCTTACCTCTTCTCCACTGATGATCATAGGACAGACATTGCAACACCAATCAGATTTTGGATTAAGTGGATCCTTGGGTAATTGTACTCCACCACAATGTTCGATATCCACATCTCCAACGCAGAGCAGTGCACTGAAATTAGTACCAAATTCAGTTGGATCCGTGCAACGTTTACATTTGCATTGAAAGTGTTTAGTTATTGCCAGATGTTCATTACGCATTTGTGTGCCCCATAACATATTCGAATACATTATAATCAAATGTTCACCCTTTTGTATTTCTCTACCGGCGATGACTGAAATCTTAAAACCATTACGATGATCGAACTGAAAGTAACAGTTTGGTTGACATGAATGCTCCATCATACAGGCATTGTAGAAGACACCACTAAGTTCTAAACCATTGGGTAAGTTAATGCACATATAATTTGTTTCGATTATGCCACATATGCGATGCAAAGTGCTTGGCTCATATTCCTTAAGAAATTTCTCCTTGGATTTGTGTTCAACACTTTTTAATCGATTTAAAAAATTTCGTTGAAGATACGAAACAATCCGTTTTTCAGCGTCACTATAAAAGATAGGAATGCGAAATATTAACAACATATAGGAGTCATTATAAATGAAAGTGATATCGGATCCTTTCCTATATCATCTGCAGATAATCGAAGGATTTCATTTCATTTAGTTGAAATCGTTGTTTTAAGTTCTAATTTATGAAGAAATTGATTTGGATATATCTATATATAAAAAGCGAATATGTATATCTAGCGTTGTTATTGTTGGGAGATGTGAGTGATAGTTATCTGGCTCACGGCTGCTCTAGGAACCACTATCTCTTAGACGCTATTATTCTTCCAAGAACGGCTGGTTTTACTTCCCTTAGCCATTCGTCAAACACGGCGATCAAGTGTCGTTCATCACCTCCAAATGGATTTTACAAGCACATCCCAGCGGATTACAATAAACAACAACAACATATGATACCATCAGCTTTGTTATTGTTAAAAAGAGACTATTATCACTTTCATATATAACTTTTCATATATTTATCATATATTACTCATAAATGAACATTACTTACTTGTGCAATTCTGAGCCCTCACGTTCCTTTTCATGACTTTGCATGTCCATTAATTCAGTCCATTTCTTCGGGGATGATCGCTGTAATAGCAGACATTTTAAAACTACTAATGCATCGGAACGATAGTAATCGAGAAGTGAATGTGGATCTGTTCCTGTTGGACCTGGTCCAAGTGATAATATTATACATTCCATGCCATGTAAATTTGTATTCTCTAATCCAGCACAGTTTGGTGAGCATGCAGGCCAGTGACATCTATAATAAGATAAGGAGTTAAGTATATAAGTATGATAAATTTTATTATTTAATAATATATCATTATCTGTTAATCACATATGACTCTTTTTGAGAAGTTCCTTCTTTAAAATGTAGAATTATTTTTAAATAAAATAAAATGACATTAATGCCTAGTCAATCAATAAATGCACGATTATAAAAAAGGATTCAAAATAATCCTTTTTCAGAATATTGTATGAATGTTCTTAAAAATTTTAGCTTTTGAGTTCTAAAAGCAAATATCGTTGTGACCTGATTCAACAAGCCTAGGAGTAAATTATTGAATAAATTTTTGTAGTCTTATAATGAAATACAATAAAAAATTAATTTGAGATATTGAAGTCAACTTGTAAGAAGAAACTTTGGTTCATCAATTATCTTAGAACATTTAAAATTTCAGATTGTGATTCTCAGGCTAAGGGTTTTTTTTTGCAAACAATTTATATGGAATCTTGATATCATCTGCTGGGAACATGAAAAAACCAATTAAAGATCTGTTAATGAAAACTAAACCAAAGAAAGATAGAGATATTTTATAAGTTATAGAGTTTTTTGAACAACTTAATTGTAATTAAAGTATTTAACTAATAAGTAATAAAATATTCTACTATTTATTTTTATAATATAATAATAATATAGTCAAAATTCGAAATGGTCTATATGGTTTCCATATAATATTGTTACCTGCTGGAATTCTTTTCTAAATTAATAAATATTAATTGTCTTTTTAAAGTATTTATTTTGATTTAATACTTGAAATTAAAAAGTACTTCTTTAACTTTATAATAAAAAATACATTTAGTAATAACTAAAAATTTGAAAAAGTTCAAGTATTTATTAGTTAAAAACAATAACTTACCTGAGACATTGATTTGCACCTATGCGACACGGTATAAAGCAGCCTACGCAAGGCATAACTAGCACTTGTTCATCGCGTTCAGTCAAATACCATTTGGGGCCCACAACAAGTGGCAGCTCTGTAAAGATAACATTTCCAGCTGTGATGTTACGTGTGCTTAAAAGAAATCTTCCTAATTGTTCATCATTTGCCACACGAAATGGACGACAATCCGTTTTATGTTTCTTCCAATGTTGTCGTTGGTGTTCTGCTCCACAATACTTGATCGATTTGCATGCCGAACAAGATAACTTGGCCGGCACCTGACAAACTGCACATGTCGAAGAGTCAATAGGTGACATTATTTCTTTATCAAGATCTTGTGAAAATATTTTGCAATTAGAAATCACTAAACTAAATAATGTTAAATAACATTTATTTCTAGTTTTAAATTATGGAAATCCGATTCCAAAAATGTCTCCGATTTAAAGTCTATAATATATATTTTTAGATCATAATTTTTTAAATTATTGTGATATAATATTTTTATTTTATTAATTTAGCATATACATATGTATCTGTTAGCTACTTCTTCACTCAACACACAACGTTTCTCTACTAATTGCGATTCATCTGCTTTAGCAACGAATAATATGTAGAACTTTCGCAATTCTCTTGTTAATGTTCTAGTTCTGCTTTCTATTTTATTTTGGGAACACTGAGTAAAAAAACTATCTCAGAGATATTGTGAAAACAGCATTTTTACAATGTAAATCATTTTGTTTACATTTTCCATATAAAAAGAAAAGTTTTATTTTAAAAAAGTTTTTATTTTATTTTCACCATGAAAGAGAAGGACTGCTTCATGTAAGAATATTGCAAAGAGTTCTTGCTCTTTAAAGGCATACAAATATTCTTAATTATATTGTGTAAAACCTAATAAAGGTATTTATTATATATTATAAAAGATATAATTAAAGAAGTAAAACCAATAAAATAAATAAAATTAAGAACGCATTAAAGATTCTATTATCTTCTATAGATTCTATAAAGATCTATAATAAGCATATAGTTTATTTTCTTCTATTCGTGAATTTTTATAAAAAGTGATCCGTAGCTTGATGTCGGCACTTAGTAGTACAGAGTGTTTTTATATTGTTGGTCACCTTTATATTGTCGATAGAAGACATTAGTGTGTCCCAGATCAAATATCTTATCCAGCGATTAATCTAGCGGAGACTAACCTCCATCAATATTGGTATATGTATATGTGAACATTTGTACAATAATAAATTTTTGTTTACAGTTTTAAGATTACCATACTCTGGTTACCATACACAAGTACATGTGACAATAAGAATATCGAGATATATAGAGCAAATATCAAGCACTTCCTGTGTCACTGTCCAGGACTGCCGACAAGACGACTTTAACGTCTTGGGGATCACCTTTTAACTGCCTTGAAAGAGTTAACGAAAGCAAACTTATCGGATCTCCTCAACTTTATTTCGAAAACCAAATGGTTTAACAAGGATAGAAGACAACAAAGGTTAGCAACTCGTCTCTCCCAGTAGAATTTTTGAGGGCATCACAATTGGACAATAATTGCCTTCGAGTGAAAGTGCTGACAATTGTCAGAACGCGTCTTCTGAACCTAACCTATAGAGCAAATAGAAAAAATATATAAATCAGTGGGCACACGTTAGCTAGTAAAGTATAATTTAAAACATGGTTGACCGCGGTGCGGAGTTGGGCCACACATTAGGAATGAAGAAATTTAAGCTCGAATGCAATTTAAAATTTTTTGATATATTAATTTGAGAAGTTTTTGCAACTCAAGATTAGAGCTATTACCTAATAATCTTTTAGAAGCTGGTCTGTCCAGTGTCTTTTTCCTATGGGTATTATAATAGTTAGACATTTTATTATTCATATTAAAAAAATTAATATTATTAATAGCTTTGCTTTAAATTTTGCAAAATTTCAATATGCAAGTTTAATATAACAGAAAATTAATTTATTTTAATTCTTTTTTTTTGAAAGCTTTTAACAAGTCGATAATCCTATACTGATTAATTGTGCAGTTGAATTTTTTGATTTAATAAATATGGATGTTCTTCCAGTACTTTCTTTTGTTCACGCAGACTTTTCATAACTCCAGCTAAGGTCCAGCCATGTCGTAGCAGTGCAGTATCAGCGCTAAATTGTCCATGACGTATACAACGAATTCCTGTACAATGTGCAACACTTCGCAGCTCAATGCCCATCTCATGTACCAACGTAGCTAGGTAGTTTTCATTTTCATTGATGGCATGCACTTCAAGTGTAAAATCTGGTCGATTAAATTCTATTAGTTTAATGCCATATATAACCGGTTGACTATTATCTGCTGGCCTCACAGCACCTTTACAAGCGATTTCATAAGCCGCTTGTGATTGTATATCTACACCACATAGTTCAAACATTTTACGTTGATGTGAAGCTTGCATCGAAGCAGCTAAAGCACTCACACGTTCTGGATGTACATGTTTGTAATTGGACTTCACCGTTGTTAAAGAATCAGGAAAATGATTTTCTGTAGCTGTACCCAAACGGCCGCTTACATGATAAGTGCGTATTGGTCGATTTTTCTGTATTTTTGAAGCTTTATTTTTTCCTCTATTCATGCCAAAAACTGTATATGTAAAAATATTTAGCTAAATCATTAAATATATAACGAATACACTTACGCAATACTCCACTGGTATGATAGCCTAGGCCAGCAACGAGAACACAACGTATATCCTTCATTATATAACGTGGTCCTGTGGATAATAAATGGTCGCTCAGATCGAGGGTTTCAATTTTACGGAGCACTGGATTAGCTGCTCCTCCTGGTTCTAATAATGGTATTTCCTTTTCAATTTTACGTGGCTCACGTACTTGCATTTCATTTAAGTCTGTAAATAGAGATGACTTAGAGAATTGAATTAACCCAAAAAAATGTTTATTTACCCCGAGTAATATTATGGAGAACAGCTTCTTTTACCTTTTTTAAACTCATATTTGCTGGCTTATATATATTTACGATACCGTTTAGATGCCGAAGTACAGTGGCAGCGTCATAAACTTTAACTAAAGGCATAGCTTAACAATTATGGCTTTAACAATTTATAAATTAAAATTTTAAAACGATATATGCATTTAAAACCTTTTTTTCCGATTTCTTTAATTCATGTTTCATAACAATGTGTTTAGCCGAAAACAGCTGATTAGTCTGCGTTCGGAATAATTGTAAGAAAGCAGAAGAGTAAAAGAAGAGAAAATACAAAAAATTGGTATAAAATAATATCAATTAATGTTGAAAAATCAATTGTCGGGATATGTATTAATAGAAAAGAGAAAAGGTTTTGAAAGGTATTTTGTTCGATGCTTCCCCTATATAAGAATGTGTGCGAAGAAACATTATAAAATAAAAAAAGCACTATTGGGGTTATAAACCATTAAACTGTCATTGATCGATTATGACTGCATGATTTACGAGTTTATGTTTCCCTTTTCGTATAAATATAAATTATTTTAAAAAAATTAAGCCGTTGTTCTTCCAAACCACGTTTTCGGGTAATTTGAACGCTAACATAAAATTAAAATTTTTAAAATTGTTTTCCGTGTTCAATACATAATATGGCAATCTCATTTAACTAAATAAGAATTTTTACAATGCGCACTTAAGCTAAGCACTCGTCGATATTGATCACTTAAATATAGTTATTAATTTCAATAAAACTCATCTTAATGTTAAATCGACGTTTAACCAAACATTGTGAAATGGATTCGAAATCCTATTTTCACTACACATAATTTTTAGTTATATGCAATGCTATAAGTGTTTACAAGAACTAACGTTTTTAAATACATTGCCAATAATTTATATATATATATATATATATACATAATATTTAAGTGATTTTTTTCATTGCTTGTGTTGATATATCAATTAAAAAACACTGAAGACACTGTATTTATTCTAATGCTCGATACATGATAATAAGAAAGTTCTTGGCATCAATAGTGCAGTTCATCAACTAATACTAATAGTGCTAAGTACCGTAAAGACAAATCGCTGAATTTGTTTATTACTGGGATTGCTCACACTAATTCAGAACACTTGTTTTAAACAAATGCAAAATTTATTTCATCAGAAACATAACTTCTTAACATAACTTCTGTGTAATCAGATACATTTGAGTGAAAGGTCTTTAGATAACTACAAGCGTTTTATTAAACAAAAAAGAAAGATTCATTGATATCGAATATTGTATTCGATATCAATGTTCAATATTTGTTGCTTAATCATGTGCTATACTACTGTAACACATATTTTTAATTCCATTATATGATACATGACAATTCTTTTATATGACATGTGCATTTTCTCTATTTTTCCATTTTTCATATAAAAACGTATAAAGTACACTTCAAAACTCAAATTTTGTTTCAGTTAATGTTTGATTCGAAAATGTTAAAAAGCGAGATTTTTAAAGTGACAATTTCCAAAAGATGACTTTAGATTTAAGTCAAAATATTGAATTTAATGAAAAGTAGTGTGAAATAATTTACGTTGTTTTTATTAATTTTTAATTATAACAATAATTGAACGTCTTTGATCAAATACCCGATAAACAATAAAAAGTGGCGTAGTGTAAATGAAATTTAAATTACGAGCTTTTCCAAACGCATTATTGGAATAGCGAAAATAAATTACCTCATCTGTGAACACATTACACACTTATTTTCTTTTCTCCTTTGTTTATTATTCGCATCTTTAATTGTTTGAATTCTGGACTGCACGTGTTGGATTCATTTAGATTTTCTTATAAACTATTTGCAATTTAATTGTTTAAAACTTAATTTGTTTGTGTTCAGCTTGAAAGCAATAAACACATTATGAAGTGGACCACGGCAAATGTAAAAAACCCTAACTATACACAAAACCATGAAATATTTGTTGGCACACATACGGGTTCCTTTAAAAGTAATAAAAAAATCAAAGAAAAAAAAATAATCTTCAGTATAATATATATTTAATATTTTATTCTCACTTGTAGAAGTAATGCCAACATATCAAGACAATCCCTTTAAACAACAAAATTTGCGGGATTTAGAAAAGTTAGATAAGGACTCAGTTGTAACTGCATTAGCCTTCGGCGATGCAGACAAGTCGGAAATATTGATTGGACGAGCACATAATACTGTTGAAATACATTCAGTGCAAACAGGACAGTTGGAGCGTGCCATACAAGTGAAATCAGCACCTGTGGTTGGATTAGCACGTTTCGGTGAAGTTTTAATTGCTGGCTTAGGAAATGGTGAAGTGCAACATGTTTTGCTTGATCAGGAAAACCCAAAAAAATTTTCTATAAATACGGGTGATGATATGGCACATTTGCGTCAATGTCTAACTTATCGTAATCTAGTTGCGACTGGTGGTAAAGGCAGACAAAATAATCTTAAGATTTATGATATGGCTGTAGATGGGAAACAGATTTTCTCTTCCAAAAATCTACCTAATGACTATTTACAATTAGAGGTGCCCGTTTGGGATTGTGATGTGGGTTTTATTGCTTCTTCACATACTCTGGCGACATGTTCACGTTATGGTTATGTGCGTGTTTATGATACACGCAAGCAACGCCGACCAGTGCAGTGTTTCGCTACCGAGAATCAATTAAGTTTTACAACTTTGACAGCACATGATAACTATATCTATACGGGTACTACTATGGGTGCACTGAAAGTAGGAACTTGAAATTTAGTTATAATAAATTATTAATATATTTTTAATTGCAGGCTTTCGATATACGGAATATGAAGAATTTTGTGCATACATATAAAGGTTTTACCGGCGGTATTAGCGATGTTTGCTTGGATGCTACGGGTAAATATTTGGCTAGTGCTTCTTTGGATCGTTATGTACGTGTGCACCATGTGGACTCCTGTGTGTTGCAATATCAATGCTATATTAAATCAAAAGCAATGCGGGTGTTATTACGTGAATGTACGGAGGAACCTAGTAGTGTAATGACCAATGATGATGTAGAAGGGGAAAAAGTGCCACAAAATTCATTACAAAAAAGCAATAAACGTAAACGCAAAGAAGATCAGGATGATGAATATGAAGCTATGTTTGAAAATATGCAAACTATATGGTAATTAATTTATAAAATTTATATAAAAAGTAAAATAATTAATTATAATGTTATTTTAGTGAAAATGATGACAACGACAAAGTAATAAATCCTTTAAACAAAGCGAACAAAGTGAAATCAAGCACAAAGAGGAAAACTGATTTAAATGCTGTTAAAAACAAAAAGAAAAAATAAAACAAATTTTTTTTATTGTTAAGTTTAAATTAATTTGAAATATTATTTGTATGTATGAGAAGAAAGTGTTTAAAAATGTATTTTCTGTGGTGTTAGTGGTTTAATAACTCTAAAGTAATCTTTGAAATTATTTCAATCCTTCTGAGGACAAAAGTACACTACGCATCTTGAAGTTAGCATAAAGACGATAAGTGCAATAGTACAAAAATTCCACCAGCGAAATAACACTTAAACCAAGACACAAGTTGAAAACTCCACCAAGATCAGCTTTAATAAAGAAGAAGAAGAAAAACAGAAGAATATAGTTTAATAATTAAACTATATTTAAGTTAATGCAGTTAATGGTTAAGAGTTTAACTTACATAGCAAGCCAATCCATGACATTACGGTTACCTTGCGTATTGAGGGCACCACTTGTTTTGCTAAATACACTCGTACGATAAAAGAGTCTTTAGTTAGGCGTTCACGTGAACTTATTTAAATAAATAATTAATTAGCAATTAGTAATTGAGAATATTTATTAACTATTTTACTTACTATAAAGTACTAACAGAATAATTATGCAGCTGCAAATCTGTTTTGTAGGCCAGTGTCGAATAAGTTACATCGTAACAGTTTGGCAAGCATTGGTTGCATCGCACAGTTTTAAAGGTATCTGCAAAAAAACTATATTTTAGCGGGTAGCATAATTATTTAATTTGTTATTATATGATAAATATATTAAAATTTAAAAATCTTAATAATTATTTGAAAAACAAAAGATAAAGTGTTATATGATCTTAACCTTTAGTTACAACTACACTAAGATTTTGTTATTAGTTGCAGGATTGGCCGTTACTATGTCCCAGAGACCCTAATATTTTACGATCTAGAGCAGCTCGCCTTTTTTAATGTGTCAAGAAAAATATTTAAGATTTCAGGGCTAAATAACGCTTTCAAGATATTAGGTTATGGCATTCTTTAACCGATACATTTAGTAAAAAAGTAGTGAATATATCAAAGAGCAAAGGCGGATCAACAATAAATTGTAATTAAGTTTCGGAGTATGTGAAGAATATGTTGAATCACAGAACAGCTAATCAAAACAATCATATTCTTGTACGTGGCTCTCTCCATCACGTATGAGAAATGGTTGGAGAGAGAAACAATTAATTTCTGCCACCAAGCGAAGCTCTATATTTTAAAGCTTACTTATGCGTTCTAAATATCTCTTAGTATGTTCAATAGAAATTATTATTACGCTTTAGAATATGGGATCATTTATATAGATTTTGAATCATTTAGATATTATATTTGAGTATAATGGGATCTGCATCTATATCTAGTTTAAAATGTAATACATTTATTGCGAATAACGTCATATTGTCTCTTCCTTAACAAAATATATCTTAATTTAATACTTACCATAATTAGTTGCAAAACATTCAGTATCGTTTAGCTTGCACTCCATATAATCTTTTCTTATTGTTGGAAGATTGTAAGGGTGGCATTTACATTTCTGTACTATAGCATCCGATTGGCACGACAACATACAGGCAGCTTGTCTATAACTACGTAATTCCAATTCACTTGAAGTAAGACAATCACGTTTGTTTTGCGGTAATTCCAATACTTCATAAGACGAACTATGCACTGTAGGTGAGATTTCGACAAAACTTTCAGAATTAGCAGTAATAGTTACAGCTGAAGCTGATTCAGTAACAAAATCCATAGGATGATGAACAAGCACTAAAAGACCAGTTGAAAGATTATGTTCTGAACCCTCGTGACCAATGAAAGTTAGGCCACCATCCATGCCGAAAATATTTGCAGAAAATGGTACATAAGAAGCATTACGTGGATTGTAGTTAAAAGAACAACATGGACCCATATAAGAAGTAGTCGATATAAAAGAAAGATACTCGTTATCTTGATGGCAAGAAAATTCCGTAGTACCCCAGAAGCAACGTTTTACAAAATCCGAGCAACCGGGACTAATTGTGAGTGCAGCTTCATATATAGATATGTTATTGAAGCGCAAAACTGCATCAGTCGCTTCGTAACTAACATGTGGAGGACGTACCCAATTTTGTGATGTAAAAGCATTAATGTAAGCAAAGCCATTCTCAACTTCGCGTAAATCGTATTCCGGTGGAATTTTTCTAGCCACATGAAGTATATAAGTAAGTAAGAGTCATTAGGTATGGGTGGTTACTTACAGTTTTTTAACATAACTTTGTACACGCTCCATATTCACAACTTTGGGACTGCAAACAGTCACGCCAGGAAATGCTACATCTGTTATGGCCAAATCAGTGGATATTGTGTTTAAAATTGGATATGAATAAAATTTAAACCACAGTTGTAAGGCCAAGTAAACGCTTAGCAGAAACAAACTTATGAGTACAGTGGCCCAAATCAAACTGAAATTTATGAATTTTCGCTTAAAGGAAATTGATAAAACTGTGCATTCCCCAACTTACCGAGAAACACCTCTTGTTCGTTTTTCACGCAGAAGCCACATACCGCTCACCTTTGTTTTTTGTGTGTACTCCCAAAATGTATCCTTTATAGCTAAACTCAACAGACGCAGCCAAGTACGGCTGCATTTTACAGGCCACATTCTTCTATTCTTTCCGATTTGGCGGAGCTTGGTTGGTTCCTGAACCAATTTAGTGTTCTGATTTTTAGTCCGTATGTTGTGAAGCATTTTGACTAACTAAATTTAGTTGTGTGCTTGATTCCTTAGTTAGTCTTTACATTTTAACTTGTGTCCATTAATTGCTAACTTCGATGAGTAGTTATTAGTGGACGAATTAACCACTTAACAAGGGAACTAGTTTTCAACATTGTCTTAATTAGATTTAGTTAATGACTAGAAACTAGAAGAAGAGAAGACTAGTAGTTTCCCGTGTAAATATGTAAAAATATGCGGGGAAATACTGAAGTTGTTAATTAATAAAAATATAAAAGAATTAATTAATAGTGAGACTATTAGTAGAACATATCGTTGGTATTGTTGTTGAACTTTAATAGTTTCGCCATGCATACTGAAGCCTGTTTCGTTCGTCTAATTCTAACACAGTACTGTTATTTTCGGGTGGTGGTGGTAGATTTATTGCTCACCACAAAAATTTTTCTTTCGTCTTGCTTGCAACAGGTTCTAAATTTCGACGGAACTGGTAAAATCTCTGTGGCGATAAGTATCGATAAACTACAGGTAGGTCCACCATCTTTAAGAACGTAAATTTTTGACGGAACCGGTGAACATCTCTATGGCGATTGGTATTGCTTTATACTTAATGTGTGATTTTCACATAGACCTTGTTTCTTTGAAAGTTGAACCCATGATACTTTTATCGGTCGTTAGAAAGACTGTTTCGTTAATTTTTACTCTGGACGGTGTGAAATTTTGACTGTAATATTGAACATTTATCCGACATTTAGTATTGTATACCTTCATATATTAAATATCTGATTTTCACAAAAATCTTTTTATTTTCGAGAGAGATACTCATGGTAGCTTTACCGTTAACGAGGCAGCTTGTTTATTTCGTTTTTTTTACAAAGTATTTGAAATCTCAATGAAACTAGTGAAATCCTCTTGACAATTAGTATTGATTAACTAAATTAAATAAATGATTTTCATAAAGTTTAATGTGAGAATATTGTCTTTTTTTTATCAAAATATTTATTAAGATCACATAAAATACAGAATAATAGAGATTTGAGATATACTGCTGTACTTTAGCAGCCTAGTAGACCATAGTCCATTTGAGTTGAAATATTGTCGGATTGTGATACCATAGACTAATATTGGATATACGTACAATATACGCACCCTCAAAAGGACATCTTTTTTAAAGGTTGAAACATCTTTTTTAAAAGTGAACAAACCTGACAAGTATAAAAACTTGTCTAAGTCCCTTTTATTAAGAATGACAGCTTTGTTCGGTAAATAAGACAAAAGGCTGCAAATATATTTAATCATCTATCAATCAAATGTGGGCGTTGCCAAACTCGGATTAGTTTTCCTCTTCAGAGGATTGCCAACTTTCATAGCATGTGTTTTCAGTAAGCATTGAACTCAACAACGTAGTGCTGAGCACGTTTTGTTTTCTTTAAAGCAGCTAATAACCAGATTTATTGTTAAGTTTAGTCCAATTAAATTTATAGATCTAGCAGAAATTTCCAGCTGCACTGTAATTTTAGCTATATTCAGATACTTTTGTTTAATTGCCAGTTGAGCTATTGCAAGTAATAACAATTTGAAAGAAATGAATGTCAGAAAATAGTGTACCTACCTTGGAAAGATGATTAGCACCGCAGTTATCTAAGCTGTATCTGTGTTCAGGTACTTATGTGAGTTGGACACTGATACGTGTAGAAACATCGTTAAGAGAATTCCGGCTTTTTCAAACTGTTAAGGATGTAGCTGGGGGATATTGTAGCCTAGAACTTATTATTACCCAAATGATACCGCTATAGTTTGGTAGTCGAAGACTTAATTCATGATGCTTAGATGCTTAGATTTAATTCATAGGAAAATATGCCACTGTCGAAATTTTTGTCTATTTTGGAAACTATTTTATCTAGAGTACACTCATTCCTATTAAGTACAAGAAACCCACACTGTAGATTGAGGTTCGGTTAGAGTAAATAAAGTCCATTGAGATAGGGATTGGCAAATTTTGATTTAGTATGGTTGTGTGCTCTATATTAACTCTAGAGAAACGGGAGAGATAATTGAGTCTGATTGCTATTAATTCTTAATTTGCTGTTATATCAGAAACCTAGAAGGCAGCTAATGAAACATATCGAAAATAGGTTTAAAGGAGGTGAAACGTAGAATTTTGGTAATTCATTCTTATAAAAAGGACTTATGCATGCTAAAAATAATTAATTATTTAATGAAGGTAGAGAATATAAAATAATGAGAGAAATTTCTGAGAAGCCAAAGCTGCACTATGTAATGTGAAGATGATGATTATATAGCTTCTCTTGAATAATAGAATAAAACAATTATTGAATTATAAGTTCCAAGTAAAATATTTAATTAAAAATGTTATCTTTTATATGTGTAGTTTATATCCAGTAAAGAAAACAATAGTTTATTTTTAGTTTAGGTGGAATGTTAATATTTTGGACTTATGAGGTGTAACTACCAAACAAATACATATAATTTTGCCATACATATTCTAAATGGATTTTTTTCCTATAAACACTTTTATTAACTAAATTAAGTGTACGTATATTTCTATTAAACAGGGTTGAAAATACAATTATTTATTGAGAAAACAATAAATACGCTATGTAAATATTTGGAAGCACATTGCAAATTGCACATAAATTAAGTCAATAAAATAAATGACATCAACAGTTTGCCATTGGCTCTTACAAGGATCACATGGAGTTCCTGCCATTAAGGATTTTGATATATTTCACAACATTCAATGGCTTGATTTCAGTGCACATAGATTTTAAAAATGCAAGCATTCGTAAATGTAAAGTTTTGGAGTATTTGATGATATTACAAAATGTTGTGATATTATTCTTAACTCCAAGTGCAGTGCTTTTCATTCTTCAGCCAAGGCAAATTTATGAGACAAATCCATTGACTTGGTATACACAGGCAGCAAATGCCATATTACGCACTGTTGTCATTGTCTCAACAATAGGACTTCGTTGGAAAAATGAATCAAAATTGTTAACACAACTTGAATCGATGTTTCATCTACAACAGAATTATTTCAGACATCTCCAACTACAAAGCGATCATAAACTTCGGCATCTACTCTATATCAATGGCGTTATTGTGTTCTATCATTGTTTGGTGAGCATTTCGGGTTCTTGCCAAATGGTGTTGTATCGTGGGTACCGGTACATTGGAATTGGTTACTATATAGTTTTGATGGTTAATATATTGCACAATATATTGCTATGTCATAGTACTTTCATTTGCTTTGCTTATGAGTGTTTTAGAATCCTTAATCGCAGATTGGAAAATTTATTGCAATTGCATAGAAGATTTGGAGCATGTAGGTCGAATTGTGCTATAAAATGCGTTGAGGATTTGACTAAAGCTGTTGAAGTATACCAACGTCTGCGGTTAATTATAGAAGAACTTAATGTTTTGTATCAACAACAATTGCTTTGCACTTTGATAATGTTTTTTGTGAATCATGCCACTGAAGGATATCATGTAGTTGTATTGTTTCTTAGTAGTGTAGTAGAACTGGATAATACCAGTAAAGGCATTAGCATTACTACTTATATTCTATTACTTATTATGATTTTTAATTACGAAACTATATGTGATCATATGGTGAATACTGCATTATACACAAAATTTATTATTGGACAATTTACGGAGCTTCATGCAGAAACACAGAAGGGACTTACAACTCAAGTAAGTTGTACACTTTTTGGAGATGTTGGAAAAGTAATCTCTAATATAAGTTATTTACAAATGATATAAAATTACAATATAATTATAAATATTAAATTAAAAAATATCTTAAATACGTTTTATTATTTCAGTTGGAGTCTTTTTCACTTCAACTCTGTGCTTGTGAGGAACCTCGAGTCAATATTTGTGGTATGTTTAATATAAACCGGAGTTGTACATTTGGAACGGTGTCGGAAATAGTATTATACACTATTATTTTGGTACAAACTGATTATAGGAATATATAAAAATAAAAAATTAAATAAATATATAATAACTAAATTAATTAATTTTAAAGTAGATACTTTACAGAAAATTAATTAAGAAAATAAAAATAATATACTATATGCATTATTATTTAATAATCATATGATTTAAATCATTAATATTATCATTTTAATTTAAACTAAATAATAAATATCATTTATAAGTATGTAATAAAATTATTTGATTAAATAATTATAAACAGTATAATATAATCAATGTATCCATACCGCTTGAAAAAAAATGGACATATATATTTTGTATATTAATGTAAATAAATCATATTAAATTAAAAAAGTGCCTATATTGCATTTTTAAATATTTAAAGAAATTGAAATTTTATTATCACTGCTATATAAATGTGCAACTGAATGAAATTTAATTTCTTCCTATTCTTCTTCTTATTACGACTAGTTTGGGAATGCGATTTGATGAGGATCTCAAAATATAAACTTTAAGTAGTTGTTTTTACTTTATAGAGCATATTTTCTGCATATTCTTGTACTTTTTTAAGCAAATGTCTTTGCAATCTGCTTATCACTAATAAATATCTAAGAAATATAATAAAATAAAAAAACAAAATGGTAATATCAAAAAAATAAATAAGAAATAATTAAATAAATTTTGTTTAAAAAATTAAATAAAATAAAATAATATATAATAATAAATTCTAAAACGGTTACTTTTTAATGTATGTATGCGTGTTCAATAAAAAATAGTTATTTCCTTTAATAGCACTGGTTTCAATAATTAAATAAATTTTATTTAAAAAATAAAATAAAATCATAAATAATAATAAATTCTTAAGGGGTTACTTTTTAATGTATGTATGCGTGTTCAATAAAAAACTAGTTATTTCCTTTAACAGCACTGGTTTCAATGGTGTTGAAGAAATGCAACAGCCACTTTAGAAGAAGAAGAAAATGTCTAAACACGCGTACAGCTTAAAGTGCATATATTGCTTTTTCAACTTTATGTACCATATTCTCATCACTCGCTCTCAAAGGCATTAAACCAAAAACGCGAAAGTCAAACGAAAGCTAAAAAAATCAGTAATTAAATTGTGGTAGAAGTGGTTACACAAACCGAATAAAACCGACGAAAATCACGAAGTAACGACGCCTGATCGCAATATTTACTGTTCCTTAAACCAATTACACACCATATTTGTTTTTGCTACTCCTATATACACCACTTTAGTCGGCGTAAGTAACTTTTTTTTTTTAACTAAAGAAAATGTTTTGTTGTATTGCAGCTTTGCAGTTTGAGAATTTACGACTTGACATATTTTTTGCTGTCAAAAAGAATTGTGTGTGAATTAAGAGTTAAAAAATCGAAATTTATGTTTGATTTTCAAGCCAATGTTTATAATAATAAAAAAAAGTGGAATTAGACGACTTGATCACTTGTTAGTCCTTTTCGTTTATTTTGGTTACAAAAAATTCCATTATTAAAATTGTAAACAAGGAGCGCTCCACAAGCCACACAAAATAGCAAAAGTGTGTACCACCCGAGAACAAAAAGAAAAAAATGCAAAAATGAAAGATTGTAACTAAAAAATTTCAAATAAAAAAATTTAAAATGCAACATTTAAATTAAATAAATTTTAATTTAAAAATTACAAATATAAAATAAATATAAAGTTGTGCATTTAAAATTAAGAACTAAAAATAAAATATCTTCATTTAAAAATTTAAAATTAAAAATAAAAAATATTAAAATAAAAAATTTAAAATTATAAATTTGAAAAAAAAAACAAAAAAAAATTTAAAATGAAAAAACTTAAAATAAATTATGTATTTTAAAAATGAAAGAAATATTGATTTAAAAATTTGAAATTAAAAATAAAAAGTTTTAATTTAAAATTAAAAACTTAAATATTCTAAATAAATTTTAAATATTCTAAATTTAAAATTTAGAATAAAAAAATAAAATGAAACACTTAAAATGAAAAATTTAAAATAAGGAATTTAAAATAAAAAATGCATTTTAAAAATTCAATTTAAACATTTAATAAGAAACTATACATAAAAAATATATTTTTAATATTAACAAAACAAATTAATTTAAAAATTTAAAATTAAAAATAAGAAATTTAAAATAAATTTTAATTAAAAAAAAAAAATTGAAATAAAAATTATTAAATAATAATTTGAAAATAAAAAATTTCAAATTAACAATTTAAAATAAATAATTGTAAATTAAAAATTTTAAAATAAGAAATTTAAAATTAAACGTTTAAAATTATATGAAAATCTGAAAATATATTAATATAAAAATTTCAATTTAAAACTTTAAAAATTAAGTATTTAAAATCAAGAATTTAAAATAAAAAAATTCAATTTAAAAAATTGTAAATAACAATTTTATTATAAAGAAAAAAATGTTAATTTAATTTAAAAAATTCAAATTTAAAATAAGAAATGTAAAATTAAACATTTAAAATGAAAAACAAAGAATTAAATACTTTTATTTAAAAATTTCAAATCAAAAATTTAAAAAAATAAAATTTAAAATGAAAAACTTTAACTAAGAAATTTATAATAAACAATAACAAAAGTATTTTAAATATTGAAAAAAATATTAATTTAAAAATAAAACTAAAAAATTATAAATAAGAAATTTTAATTTAAAAATTAACAAACATTATTTAAAAAATTTAGAATTTAAAATAATTTTTTTATAATTTTGAATAAAAAATTTATAACAAATTTAAAATTAAAAATAAGATATTTTAATTTAATTTTGAATTTGTTTCTCGATCTGGTTATGTTAATAATGTTTTTTTATATACTTTTTTTACGGCTACTGCTCGCCTTTCTTAAAAATTAAACGTTTGTTTAATATTTTTCAATATATTCTATATTTTGACTTTTCTTGAGAGTCCTTATAAGGATAAGAATTAATTTGTTAACATTAATAAATATTAATAAAATATATAAATTCCTCATGTTTTTGATTCTGTTGTCCATATAGCATAGTCCATAGTGCATAGAAATTTTAAATAACAATTTTAAGGAAAAAATTGTCAAATTAAAAATTTAAAATAAAAATTTTTAAATTAAAAATCTTAACAAATTTAAATTTAATTTTTTTTATAAATTTTTAAGTGAAGTTAGTATTTAAAATTTTTTGTTTTTTTTTCTTGTTTTGCTAGATACATTTTCGACGCTTTGCGAAATATTTAAGATATATAGAAATTTTTACGCAAAAAATGACCCACAACAAAGATGAAAATGAAAAAACTATCGTTGAAGGTAAAAAATTGGAAATCGAAGAGACATACCAATGTATGTGTACTGTGGTGAACCAGTTGAATGTGGAATGGCAGAATGTCTCATCTGTAGCACAGCTTTTGGCGCCATCTATGCAGCAGACACGCACGAGATTAGTAACACTATGTAAGTATCTCATTTTTAGAGATCATCAGGACATTGGGAAAAAGGCACGTGACGTTTTGTGGCACTTTGGCTATAATAAAATTATATTATACGCAAGGAAAAATTTAAACAATGAGTATCAAAATGGAGTGCCTCATGAAGTCCTGGTCATTCTAATAAAAATATATGGCCTACTGTGCAGTGGTATCAAAAATTATAAATTTATTTCGATTAACATGGAGAAAATTTACGATTTGGATATAAAATATTTAATTGATTTCAATACTATCAGCGAAAGTATAAGTTATGAAATGTTTAATAACAATTTATATGATTATTGTGATAATGATATTGGTATGTTCGACATAATGGTGGATAAAACTAATATAGATGCAATAGCATTCGCTCTGGATACCATACATACTGCATTATTACGTTTGGGTGATTTACATAGATACTTTTTCTCTTTCGAGATACAAAATCAAATGCAAATGTCTAAGCAAAAAGCTGCAATATACTATCTAGAAGCGTTTAAATTGAATTCATCAGTGGGTGTGGCACAAAATCAATTAGGCATATTATTCAAAGGAGAAAACTACGACTTGGACTCCATTTATCATTATCTCTATTCACTTGTGTGCTTAACTCCTTTCCAATTCAGTGAGAAGAATGTTTGTGAACTGTTAACAAAACATTTATCATATCTGCAGGTGATGGATGTGGTTAAAACTGGATTAAGTTTGAAAGATTTTTTTGCTCGCTTCTATTTAGTAGTTGACATATTCTTTTTTGACAAAGATGTATCTGATTTTAATACTATCTGTCACTGTGTGATATCTGATTTACATATAGTGCTATGTTCGAAATCCTTCAACATCACCGATGCGAGTATTTTTAAAATAGTTTCAATACTTTTCTTCTGCTTGTCGAAGCTAAAAAGGATCAATTCTAATAAAATATCATTGTTGAATGCATTTTTGGTGGCAGTATGCTCCACATTAATGGAATCATGTATCATAAATTTAGAGCAGACGATTTTAAGAAAATCTGCTGAAATTGCGGATTTTCAGGAAATGTACTTAAAAAAATTTGACGAATGTCCTATGAATGTTGCACGTTTTAGCAAAAGTCATCAAAAGGAGAGGAAAAATGCTAAGATTCAGAGTCCAAAGCTAATATTGTCTAAATCAAGAGCATGCCAGTTGTTGCGTAATGAATCACTAACCAACATCAATCCAGACAGTAATCTACACAGCCAACAACAATCTATGGATGGTTGTGAAGAGATTTTTAACCCAATATCTGCATGTCCAAGTGATCAAGATAAGCGGTCATACTCTATCAAGAGTGAGGAAAGTGTTATGAGACCACGTCGCCGCCGACGTGAAATTATTGACAATGATAATAGCACAAGTGATGGTACGGAAAATGTATTGAATATAGAATACTCGGCTGATGAGGAAGATAACATTGATCTAAATTCTAATTTTAATAATGAAAGCAACTATATTCAATCGAATTCTGTGAAATTTAATAGATTTTACCAATTTAATCGAAATGAATATTGTACTTATGACAATGAATTAATGAACAAGTTTTTAAATGATGTTGAAACTGAGCTTGTCAATCTAGCAGGGTTTAGTGAATATGGTAATATAAACGATATGCCTACAATAGCTACTGCTAATAGACTTGGTACTTCTATTGAGATTCAAGCTACTGCTAATAGGCCTGGTACTTCTACTGAGAGTCAAGCTACTGCTAATAGGTCTGGTACTTCTACTGACACTACAGTTACTGCTAACAGGCCTGGTACTTCTACTGAGAGTCAAGCTACTGCTAATAGGTCTGGTACTTCTACTGACACTCTAGTTACTGCTAACAGGCCTGGTACTTCTACTGAGACTCTAGTTACTGCTAATAGACCTAGTATTATAAATAAAAATGATATGCCTACCTCATCTGAAAATGTTGATATTATTGTTGTAGAGGAAGGTAATATATTTCCAAATAATTCTGATGCAGTACAACCTTATTTTGATGCTTTTCAATTAAGCTTTAATAATCAAAAATTAAACGGCAAATATTCCAATACTAAGGAAATTAAAAATGATATTGATGATGTATGTCAAGATAAAGGTAAAGAAAAAATAGAGTGTTCCACTAAACATACACAAAAACCATTCACAAAATTTAGACATTGTAAAAAATATACAAAGATAAATCCAAATGTTATTGTTAATTTTGCAATTAATGAACCGACTCTACGAGCATTAGCCATACTGTTTAACTGGTTACGTTTAAATACAGAGATACTTTATGATTGTTATCAGTCTAATCCAGAGTTTATATATAAAATCATGAAACTCATTAACTATTGTAATATCGATATATGTACACCTAAGATATACTTTAAGCGAGAATTCTTGCAGGTTCCTAATATACGCACCACTCTAAAAGCTCTGTTTGATGTACGTACTATTATTCCTTTGTCGGAAGATTATGCCTTTAAACAGTTTAATATCTTTGATGACATACAGAAAGAATTCGATTGGGAATATTCTCAACGTGAGCGTGTCTCCAATGAAGAGGAATGTATATTGCGTTTATTTAAATTAGTAGATATTGGTTTTTTTATATGCAAACAAAAGAAGTTCGACTATCGCTTTTGTTTTAAATATCGCCGCTTTACTCAAACCGCAAACTGGCAATGGGGACAGAGCAAGTATTTCCGAAGACGTGAAAGAGATGCTACCTATAAGCCTCAACATAAACGTAACAAAAGACGGACTCGTCGATACTTTGCTCGTAAGCATGATATGCAAAAGACATTCAATAACCAAGAAAAGGAGCTTACCATAGGAGAAGACAAGCAGACGATAGAAAAGGCCAAATCTAATATGCATAATAGTGTTTTGAATATTACGAATACTTCATCTTTAACAATTACTACTGCCATTGGTCAAAAGTTAACTAAGCAGTCAAGTAGTGGAGTTGCTGAAGAACGTTCTGACATAATAAATGATAAAGTAAGTAAACTAGAGAAGTTACGTGTTATTACTGGTTCCGTTGTCACAGCATTCATTATATTAGATACGAAGGCTCTAACAGAGTACATTGGCATTGTAAAAAAATTGTTAGCCACTAAGCAGTTCGTTTTACTTATACCAAATGCAGTAATTGATAATTTGGATTACTTGAAAAAAACCAGCGAAAGTGCTCGTAATGTTATACGTTGGTTAGAACAAGAGTTCACTGTTGGTAATTGCTTTTTACGTGCCCAACGTGACGATGAACATTTGCCTTTGCCTTCATCAGTTTTGAATATGCCAAAGAAGGTGGATATATATACACTCTCCTTTATAAAGATTTTAAGTTTTTGCAATTACCTCGTAACAAACTATACAGATGGCAAGTGTGATAAATTTGGCAGGAATATTGTAATGTATTTATCTGGCGATATTTTAGCAGATAAACAACGACTTATACCGAAATTTTCTTTGGACACACTATTGGATGCTATTCCTTTACGTTATCAACAAATATCCGATTATTACAAGGAAATAAAATTGGATTAAACATAAGAGACATCAAACTTGAGCGTAACTTTAAGTAGTTTAACAACAAATTATATTATAATTATAAATTAAAATAAGAAAATTAATTTAAAAATTATTTACAAACCAATAACTATGACAAAATACTGTTAACATTGAGTTTCTAAAAGTCATGGGAAACAAGAATAATTTCCAAAATTTACTACAAAACAGTAGATTTCACAAATAATGTGAATAAATAAATTAATAAATGTTAATTAAAAATAAAAATATTGAAATGAATTTAAAAATTACTGACGAATATCGAAATTAATGTTAAAATCAACAGCAACGACATTTAAAAAAAAATACTAAATTTAAAATATAACATCAGCTTCCACGTGAAACATCTTTCTATATATATGCTGTGATTCAACATAAGCAGATAACTTCAAGTTCAATTAATTAATTCTTTTAATAAAGAAATAAAACTAAATTAAATGTATAAAAGTATTTTAATTCAGTCATCGCCACTGCCACTAGCACCGTCACAGTCTTCGCTACATCCTCCACTATATTCACCGCTAAATCCTAAGCCAAAGACATAGCTTAATCATAGTAACAGTCATCGCCACCGCCACAGCTACCGTCACCATTACTGTTACTGGTACAGCCACAGCCACAATAACCGGCACAGCTACTAGCACATCCATCGCAATATCCACCGCCACACCTATCGCTACATTCACTAGTGACATTACCACCGCTACCGCCATATCAACCGCTACATCAACATCTACTGTCATTGTCACCGCCACAGTCACCGCCATATTTACCGTCATAATCATCACTACAGCCATCCCCACATCCACCGCTACATTCAGCCACAGCTATAGCCATCGCCACTGCCACTGTCATAGCTATCGCCAGAGCTACCGCCACCATTACAGCTATCACTACAGCCACAGTCATTGGCACATCTATTGCTACATGTAATATTATCGTCAGAGCTACCGCCACCACCATCATTATCACCACCACCTCAGCTATCGTCACCGTTCCAGCTACAGTACAGCCGCAGTCACCGCCACATCTATCGCCACTCTAACCGTAATATCTGTTACAGTCAAGAACTAGCCAAGAATTGCAACAGCGATGACGGAAGTAACTTAAGTTTCGTCTTAAACACCAAGCATAATAATACTATAACAGTTTGTTATAGTTTATGTTATATACGTACACAGCGCGATACGTTCTTCAATAAAAACTATATATGATATTAATGTAAAAGATATTGGTTAGAAAGATATTTACAACGTGACAAAGGAAACTTTGCGTACATGTTGATATAGCTTACGGTATTATTAAAAAACTACTTGCTGTAACTGTTATATACCAATGTAGCGATTTGTTTTGTTTTGAATGGTGACCTAATAACCCTGAGCTGGAATGCTATAAACTTATATTCCTTTATATAGAGTTTAAATAGTATAGATGCGGAGATACCCGATAAAGCTCAGTGGTCCAAGATATGAATCGTAATTTATGGAAGGTAAATATTCACCGGACTTTTCTAGAATATGCCCTGTGTATGCCCTGTATTAGAAATAAATCGTAAAAAAGAACTTTCATTGAAACTATTTATAAGAGGAACACTGAGCGAAGCTTCAGCAAATTGAATAAAAATTTATTCATTTGAAAAAATTTATATATTATATATAATAAATATAATATATATTTTATTTCTATTAAATTTAGATATTTAAATTAAATTTAAATTAATTAATCAAATAAATAAAATTTAAATTATATTTAAATATTTTATTTAAATATATATCCATTTATAAATTATTAATAAATAAATATGTTTGAATTGTATTTAAATAAACTTAAAATTTGAATTATAAACTTAACCGTTTATCTATTCATTATATATTTTTATAATCATTTTGTATCATAAAAATGGAATATAATAAAATTTGAGCAAATAAACAAATTGTTTGTTGTTTATTAATTTCGTAGAATCCAAGAATATTTATTGTCAATTTTTCACGAGTTAGTAGGAGTGAAAATAACTCACACTGAAATATAAAAATATAAAATGAAACTCATATTATATATTATATGTAAGAAATGTACCGTCTTTTGTGAGGAAGTTGCTTCAACAGGCGACAATAATGATGACTGGCGTAAAATAATCCTTGTTTCCATAAAACTCTCAGTAACGAACTCACATAAACTGTCCAATATAAAATTATCGATAAAAAAAACTGTTAGACTGAAGAGCATAAATATTTTAGTTTGGAGATCCACCGGAACTGTTTTGCCAGAGATGAATAAGACCAAATAATAAATGGAGCCCACATTTCCAGTGAAATAAGTACATACTACGGAGATTAATTCAAGTCTATGAATTTTGGTTAGAGTTTGGATAAAAGAGCATAGTTTGTTATGTCTAATGAGTATGTCATCAAGTTCCATATTGAGCGTAGATAGAGGCTTTGACAATGTATATGTTTTTTGGACGCAAAAATTGTTTCGCTTTAAAATTCGCTTCAATTTTATATTCAAGCAGTTGAAATGATTTAAAATTTCACAAAGTGTAATCACAAAAATCAGTAAGGAACCATTAACTATGTTCACAAAGTTTATATTGAAAAATACTGCTAACACCAAATCAACACTTCTGAATCTTAACCAATATATAGTTGATAAGATAATACCAAAAATATACAGGAATGATAGTGCAAGTTTAGTCAATAAAAATCCTGGTACTTTATTATTGAGCAACTCGCAATTGCTTTCTGGGGATGCAAAGTATTTTTGTTCCAACTGAAATTTTGCAAAAAATGTAGTTAACTGTTTCTCACGTTGCCAGGACATGGTCTTCAACACTATAATCAAAAAGCAGCGTAATAACATATTCGAAATATTTGCTAGTTTTGATATCGGATTAGTATTATATACTAACATATTTTTGAGGCTCGTTTTAATATACACTGATGTTACGTACAGCATTGCCACATTATGAAGTAATATGAACAGCTTAAAGTAGCACGAATTTAGTTTCTTAACAGTTCCTTGAACGTATATGAAAGAGCTTAATCCACTAATTATGCAGTTCAGGAAACTGGCAATCATCAGGAAGTCCGTTGAAAAACTTTTTAAGTTAATATTTTTGAAAATATTTGTGTACATGCTTTTCTTTTCAATATTGTAACAGTAGTGAATAGTATACTATATACTTATAAGACACGAAATATTTTAGCAAAGTATTGTAAGTGAGTATTATGCTTTAGGTAATTGAAAAATATTTACTCATGTTATTTATATTAAATATTTATTTATGGTTAACAATACATTGTGGAGTTGAAGCCATAAGTAGCTATGAAGAACTCCATGTATTTAAGTGGTATACATTTTGTCAGGCATACTCTTAAATTAAATATACATTAATATCATCATCAGCACATCAACATATTATTAACTATAAATGTAACGAACTATTACAAATGTATTAAAATAGAAACTTCATTTTTTAATGTGTTATGTATAGGATATTAAGACATTTTAGGTCAATTTGTAGGGTTATTATAAGCTTCTAAGACAATATTCTAATGGGTATATCTTTAAGATTAGCTGGTGATATCTTCAAATTAAGCTCATAATTTGAAGTCAGTTAAAAGTACACATATTAATTAGTAGTGATCTAAGCATGTTATTAACAAAGAGTAGATACAATTTTAAAAACCTGATTTTGAAGACCTTTTTCGAAAGTTCTTTTTTGAAGACTTGTTCTTGTAACAGACTTTAAAGATGAGTATCGTCACTACCTAATAAAAGAGTTTATTTTAATATAATAGATCAGTGAAATTTAGCAAGAACAAAATTGAACTTAATCTTCACCTTTACATATCCAACAAAAAAATTATAACTTTTTACAGACCATTAATGATTTTGCAAACAAAATTTATAATGATAAAAATTATATATTAAATTTTAAATATTTGGCGGGTCTTCTAAAGCAATTTCTACATCCTCTATTTCCCTTCATACTAAATACATTAATTGAAAATTACAAATGTTGAAGTTAATCATTAAATCAAATATAATTAATTTTAAGTTACTTAATAGCAGTGATTATAGGGATTCATTTAAGTCTGTTGATTCTTTTTGTTTCCCCAGAAAGCTTAGAGACGTGAAAATTATTTCGTACCTTTAATGTAGTCTAAAATGTTTCATGACGGCAGGTCTTACAGCAGCTTAAGTTCCTCTAAAAAAGTAAGTTTACGTTAAATCTACGTTGCGAATATGTGTAGTATTTTTCGCCTTCTCTCCAGTTACAGCGGAAATCATTAAACGAATTACTTAATCTCTTAGTATGGAGTCCTAATCAATAGCAATCTCTTAGCGCACCTATTGTATCTGTAATGTGTCTACGAGACAATTTAACGGCCGGTTGATTTTTTTTTTGAGATATCGAAATCGCTTCCGATTAATCGCTTATTAATCCCTTCCACTTAGTATTTAATTAATATATTAATAGAAATATTTTAATAATTGTTTTCATAATTATAGTGGAATGTCCCAATATTTCAGATATTTCGAATGTGTATTCCAAAAAATAAATGTTACCACGAAAATATCTATAATAGATTAGTGATGTGTAGCAGAAAATTATTATCTTAGATATAATTTGAAGTGCACTTAAGGAGTCAACAGTTAAACTAACAAAGTAGACTACAGGTTCCCTAATAGTAGCAACTTCTGACCAAGAAGTGCTAATAAATATCCATAAGCCATACTGATACCTTTATGAATACCAAAAGAATGGTCACATATTGTTAATCGTTTACACCTATATTTAAAAATTTTTTGCATAATGACACTGGTACGTTCAGTTCCTTTAGATAAATCAAATGTGTATTCTAGCCTGTCTGGTGAAAAAAGAGGGAAATTACCAAAACTTGAAAGATGTGTCATATGTTTAATGTGTAAAATGTAAACAAAAAACAGCTGAGCCGTAAACAAAGGCACTGGCAGCGTTTAATAAAATATTTGTTTTTATTAATTGAATATATAATTTATGTATAGAATGTTGATAAAAGACTTAAAAGACAATTAGATATTTAATGTTTTTTTGTTGTGATATCTTACTAGGTGAAGTTTATAAAAGTTCTATCAGCTATATATATGGGCTGTATATACATATGTAAATGAATGAGAATGAGACAGTGTGAATGTACTATTATTTAGCGTTAGTTCTCTTCTGTCAAAAAGGTGTAAATATTGGTAACCTTTATATTTTAATTTAATTTTAAACCAACTCTAATTGACTGACCTAGTGTTGTACTAGAATATATTGATATAAATTATAAATATCAAATATATATAAATTAAGTTATGAAAAAGAAACACACGTGTTTCTTCAACATTAAACTCTGTAAATTTTTGTTATTTTAGCGAATAAAAATAGTAAGTCAATAAATGTTAATGGAAACCTATATCAAAACTTGACGAGTGACACATCAGGATAAATAATCAGTAAGTGCTGTACGCATTTAGTACAAAAGCATGAGCCGAACTGGATATTTGCCAACAGCTATATTCTTTTACTATTCCACCTTGAATGGCTTAACGTCAGTTTACTACGACAGCAAATGACAGGAATTTGTGAATTCAAAGTGGCTCAAGTATTTCGTATTAGTGCACAACATTTTCATGATTCTACTATTGCCCTCATTAATTAAGGAGGGGGTGCAACATATATCACTACATGACACAAATCCAATTACCAAGTATCTGCTACTAGTGACGGTGTTAGTACGCAGCTTGGTCATAATATGCGCTATAGCATTTCGCATAAAACGTGAATGTCGTATGTTGCGTATCTACCGCGAATTGGAACAGTTGGAACGAACATACTTTAGGCGCTACCAGGATGCAAGCCCGTGCAATGTTAGCAAATTGAATAGGTTATTTCACGCAAGCATAATCATAACTATCTGCCACATTGGTATTATATTGTTGTCGAATAAAGAAGCCTATCTCAGTGGCAAATGGGACCTGCAACTTATGGCTGTATATGTTGTCCTGATAACGAATCTAATGTATGGCGTATTTTTTCATTATTTTCTGGTTCTGTGGCATATATGTAAACGATTCGCTGCACTTAATGCAATTTTAATGCACATAAATCAAAAAATTGTGAATTACGCTGTGAGATGCCCTTGCAAAAGTCTGCATGAGTTCTGTTCGGTGCAGAAACAACTTACAGACTTAGTCACTAACTTACGGGATACGTACAAATACGATATGTTCCTCTTGGTTTGTACATATTTCATAAACAGCGTCACTCAGGGCTATATTGTTGTCTTAACGCAGAATTGCAGGTGCGTGTACGTACCGCCAGAGCACATTATATTGGGTGGTATTGTCTATTTTTTGCTCATGATGCACATGTACATATTCGATTTACTATCAGAAATGCCAACAATTATTAGTGAAGATATTTTTTTGGCACTCAAGTCGTTTGCTGAAATTAAGACACATAATGTGGAAGTGGAAAGACACGTAAGTTGTTAACTGTACATTTAAAAATATTTAACAAATTAATTAATTTTTCAAATTTTTGCATATTTTTCAGTGTAATTGGCTTGCTTTTCAGTTATTTAGAAATATTATGAGAATGAATATTTTCGGAATGCTTAATATTGATCGGAAGCAAATATTTTTAATGATATCGCAAATTCTTTTATATACTATATTTATTTTACAGGGTGACTATAATAACATTTGGAAGTAAATACAAGCTAATATTTGTAACAAAATCTTTTGAAGACTGTGTTTCCTATTTAGTAGATTTGCAGCAATGTGATGTGCTGCCAGAGACTTAAACATTAATAAGTAAATAAATTAAGTATAATAAAATAGCATAGCAGCAGAGTTTAATTTATTCATTCATTCCAGTACGTTCCCAGGAGAACATTGGGCCATAACGAACTTTTTCCAACTGTCACGATTTTTTGCCAGGGTTCTAATTTCTCCAAAGGTTTTTCCGATTGCTTGGATTTCTTTCTGTAGTGTTCGCTTCCACGTTTGCTTGAGCCCGATCTATTGCCATTTACACTTTTTGATTTCGTTTGCTATAGAAAGTTGATGGCATTTCAAATTTTCAGAATTCTCCTAAGGCATTTGTTTATAAAGGTTTGCAGTTTATGGATCAAATTGTTGGTGATAAGTCTTAAGCTCTTAACATTACTGTTAAATATCCGAAGCTTGGTGTGCTGGGAAAGTATTGAGCTCCAAACTTTATTTAGTAACGAAAAGGCGGAGCATGCCTTGTTAATTCAGCTTTGGATGTCGACTGCCGCGCCACCGTCTGGCGATATTATACTACCTAAGTATGTGAAGCTGTTGACGTTATCGATTTCTGTATCGTCCAGGTTGAATTTGCTAGTAGGGTCAGAATTGTTTGTCTTCATTGCCTTTGTGTTTGCCATGTTCACTATAAGACCAACTTTTCGTGATTCATGAACTAAATCGTTGATTTTATCTTGCATATCATTCTGTCGTGTTGAGAGAAGTTGTCAGCATATTCTAAATCCTCGAGGTGGTTTGAAATCCCTCAGCGTATACCCCGTTGTTGTCAGCATATTCTAGATCTTCGAGGTGGTTTGAAATCCCTCAGCGTATACCCCATTGCTGTCAGCATATTCTAGATCTTAGAGGTAGTTTGAAAGCCACCAGCGTATACCCCGTTGTGACTGGTCAATAGCTTTAGTAAGGACGTCGTCTAACACAATTAAAAACAAAGTAGGCGACATCAGACAGCCTTGTCGAACACCTGAAGTAGTGACAAAGGGGGTTGACGGTTGCTCATTAAGGAACACTCTGCAGTAAAGTTTACAGTGGTTTAATTGAGTTAACGTCTTTGTGACCTATGATTTTCCACTAGAATTCTTTGAACCCTAACTTCTTTGTACTCTTCGGAAAACCATCTTCCATATTTTATTTCCATTATTTCTTGCACTTAAATGTGGTACGATATTTTTTAAACATTTTTTTAATGGTTTCTGCAATAGTGAGATGGGTCTTCATATCAAGATACACTATTAAATACTGCTCACCATCAAACCTGTTCATTTAGTGTTAGATTCGTATTAAATGGTAAAAATACTTTAACGATTGGAATGAGATTTAAATTTTCTACTTCAAATAATTTGACTACGATAGACTGAATAGAAATCTTTTTAGTTTTTATTAAAGTTTGGAAAGAAAAAGTTTCCTTGGAAACGCTATCAACAATTGTTTCGTAGTTAATACAAAATTTGCAGTTGTCAAGAAAAGATTTTACTTAAAAAATTTAGTTATTAAAAATAAAATAAATAATAACATTTTATTATAAATAAAATAATAATAATAAATAAATAAATAATAATATCTTAATAAAGCTCTTAATAAATTTTGTTTTAAAGTAAATAAATTCTAAAATTGGAGATAAACTAAGAGATACTTCGGGAGTTTGAGTTGATTGATACTTTAAGAGTTTTTGAATTACAATTTATTTTATTGGGAGGATTTATATAAATACTATAAAACTCGTACCAAGCAGCAAAAGTATGCTGCTTGGTATTATTGAAGACCGTTGAGTGGTATGAGTATAACCTTTAATTGTGAAATCTTTGTAAATCAATATACTTACATCTTTATTTTGTGATGCCGTATTAAGCATAGATGTTTCCGAAGTCATCACATCTTTTCAGTCATCGAGATATCAACAATCAGTATTATTTTACCAGACTTTACAACTTTTTGTGCCAATTTCTTTTCCATGGTAATCCAAACGTATTGAGTGATTGCTATTACAAAAGTTATCAAAATTGCATCATTCAAGATGAATTCGTAAGTTATCAATGTTTTACTAATCATTAAGATACAAATTATTAAAATAAATAAAAAAAAAAATAAAAAAATTTTTCATTTTCATTATATTTTTATTTTTTTAATAATCATTTTGTATTTTTATCATTTTTTATTTTTTATACGCACAAACGATATTTTGCAGAATTAAATAGAAATTATATTTCGGACAACTTCTGGCAAAAATTTTATTATCAAAATGGAGACAAATATGAGAGCATTCGATTATATTGACTATAAAAAACCATTGTTCGGACAAGATTTTCGCACATCATCGTACCTAAGTCATCGTCATATACCATTTGATTCGAATATAAAGCCATCTAAAAACAAAAATAGTAAAACCTTTTCAAACGATCCAGTATTGTTACACAATCGTGTAACCGAGTATAAAAATGAATTTAAATTAAAAGTATGTAAAATTTATTCATAGATTATATTAGTTAAACACTATATTTTACATCTACTCGTATACTTGTATTTTGTAGTCAAATATCAATATCGGTGAAAGGATAAATCCCAAATTGAACATGAAACATCAGTTTATAAAGCCATTTGAAGATCAAAAGTTCAAAATTTTGCCACGTGTAATGCATCCAGCCATGAGTATTTCACATCAGGACTATATATGGACTGGTCTACCACCAGAAGCACCCCATCGGACATTGTATTTCAACAAAAGTATAAAGACAACTCCACAAGTTATCGATGATAATAAACCTGGATACTCGAAATATTTAGAAGCTGGTGCAACCACAAATAAGCTTACATACGTTCATCGTACTCCGGAACAGATGTTGTCTGGAATTGCTGCATGTGATGCCATAACTTTTTGGAACTGGAAGAAAAACTCGCTCAATTCGATTCCCCTATATACTCGTAAAAATAAACAAGTGTGTGATGAAGCGCCTGCAGAGCGGTGCAAACATCCAAAGACAGATCACAAACGTGTAGTTAAATTTGTGCCACATAATGCTTTCACCACTGAAGTCCGAGATAATTACAAAGGTGAAGTGTTGCTGAATGATGTAAAACCGGGAAAAAATTTGCGAGGATATCCAATTTTCGATAAGATGGCATTAAGTGATCAAACAGAAAATCACATTTATGGCACTGGAGACTCAACAAGGAAATACATTTAAAAATATTAGAAATAATGATAGAACGTATGATGTTTACAGAAGACTTTGATTTTAATGGAAAATATTTGTATCATTATATCTGTATATTGTAGATAGAAAAAAGATGATTAACAAATTTTGCCATAATTAAGATAAAATTTGCAGTATATTAAAATTAGTACAATAAATATTCATAAAAAAATTTTATAGTAATGTCAATAAAAGAGTGTTTAAGTCAAGTCTTAACATTTCATCTGTTTTTGATTGTAAACTGTTTTTTATTATATACCTCCAGCTCAAAAAGTATTCGGATTTTGTAAATAAAACACACAGATTTAAATTTTATTCCAAATTTATTTTATCTCCTTCAAAATATGCTCCTTCTGAAGCGATACACATATGCCAACGCTTAACCGAATCTTCCAATCACTTTTCGTAGGCCCGTGCAGTTGTGGCTTTTAGTTCCTTCAGCGAGTTCTCTTTTACCTATTCAAAACGCTTACCACGAAGCGGCAATTTGAGTTTCGGGAACTGGAAAAAGTCGCACGGCGCCAGATCTGGCGAATACGGTGTCTGAGCGATGACAGTGGTGTCGCGTTTGGTCAAAAAATCGCGTACAACAACAATTTTTTACAGTAAAAATAGCTAAATGCACTTAAGGTAATCTCACATTAACAGCTGCTCTAAACAAACTAATTGACAGATGGCGCTCAAATTTGTACCATATGTCAAGAAAGGGTGTACCAACATAAAAAAAAAAATTTGAAAAGGTCTATTACTTAAGATGTAGTTAACAAACAACAAAATCCGGATACTTTTTGAGCAGAAGGTAATGTAACTTAAAATAATTATAATATTTAGTCTCTTCTACTTCTCTGACTCTAACTCAAAACTCATACTAACATTGCGTCTAATTACCAAGTATAGTCGTCTTTGTTAAAAAAAAATAAGATTTAGTCATAAAATAATATGATTAGGATTACTTAATAAAGTCATTTCAAAAATTTTTCATTCGATTGATCATAAGACGTCAAACATTACTATCATGGACGCTGTTCCTTAATGTTCTTAAACCTTGACGACAAGTGACAATAACTGTCACGAAAAAGTTTAGAACGTGCTCTGATGCCATGGATAACTAAACATTTCGGAAATATAGCGTAGATGTTTAATAAAATTTTAAAACATCACACAAAGTATATCACGTCTCCATGACATGATCGTCATCTTCTTCGTCATGGATCGATGAGGATAGTTATAATAGACTAATGCAGCGTTCAACTCATTTGTTGAGTAACTAAAGCGAAAGATTGATCTAAAGGCAGGGTTCTAGATTATTCGAATAAGTTTGAAAAATACATTTGTTGCATGATATTCCATTTTCATTCCATTTTCCACTGCTAAGTTAATTTTGCACAATTTGAGTCTTAATTATCCACAGCACCTTAGCATATAGCGAACATTGTCAGATGAGTTGTAAAGAGATATGATTCGAAATCCTAATAATTTTGTTCACAATTATTTGACGAGGTCTTTTACAACAACCGCTTATTGGTCTCCATTAACAAAAGGTTATTGGTTTCCATAATTGTCCATACATAATTTTCTTCATAATAATAGCTTTTAATACTCATGATTTGTTTATTTTATTAAATGATATTTACTAACGAAATAAAAATACAATATGCAGTGACTAGGCATATTTAGTAACTAACAACACTTTATAAATTTAGTTAATATTAGTTTTTCTTATCCAATAAAGAATATCAATTATGTAATTAGAGAAAGTTCCGCTCTTGGTTTCACCCCCCGTTTGTAATCAATACTAATGACGTACAAAAATCAACAAATTTGATGAGACCTAAAGGGTTAAGAATATAAGGCAATCAAGGCAGAGTATTGAAGTGATTTAATTTAGTTTTCAACACAATGCCGTACTGGGAACATTCCTTTGTGAATTCTCTATTTTGGATATATCATTATTATGCAGTTTGCATTGGGATGTCCTCACATCGTTACGATTATGCAACGAATAAATATAAACAGTCGCTTATGATGCGGGTATCCGTAATAATAGTAAATGCATTAACGGTACTCGTGCTGCCTTGGGTACTTTGGGAGTGTACGAATATATTTATTAGTGATGAGTGGACATTACTAATAACTTGGACATTTTATGTGAATATAATTATACATGGATTGGCTATTATCTATACGGTTATAAATCGTTATAGGAGGGAACTTGCACTTTGTGGTATCAGCATAGAAATGATGAATATTGAACTTAACCATCTTAAAGATTTTCCAATAAATCACAAAATTGAAGCACATTACAACACACTCTTCTGCATAAAGTATGCTTTTCTGGTATATACTTTTGTAGCACATACTGTTACACTCTTCTACCTTATGAAGAAATGGACCTGGTATACAATTTTGCTGACACTGTTATTTTCAAATGTTGATAATGTTTTGCATACCACAATGTTTACATATTTCGTCGGTATCTGGTATATATGTCGAGGTATATCATATATTAATGATGAATTAAAGAATTTGTTAAACAAATATACTGATGAAGAATATAAACACCATCAATATCGTAAATCTGTGGCGAAGAAATTACATTATTTGCTGTGCTTACATTGTCGTCTAGTGCGTCTAATACGGCTTTTGAATGATGCTTACAGTATACAAATGTTGGCAATACGTATTACTCGGTTTTTCACTAACGTGATGATAGGATTCTATGCTATAGTGCTCTTCGAAAATTCATCAATAACATCATTTTGGATTCTGTTTGGGATCATAACTTATTTAGTGGTAACATTTGACCTCTTTGTGGTTGACTTGATTTGTCATAAGACTGTGATTTGTTACAATCAAACAATATCCATTTTACGGAATTTTAATTCGGTTTCTAAATTTCGATTGAGCAAAGGAGTCAATAAATCGGTAATTTCATTTCGATTATTTTCATTATATTCAATAAATGATGAATAACAAAAATTAAAGTCATAAATCAAAGATATGTCACAACGAGTCCTTGGTTATGTGGGATCAACTACTATGAAATATTTAAAAATTGAAATTATATATCAAATTTATATCACAATGATATATCCTTGGCCTATATAAACTTATTTATTGCCATATAATCAAAAACTATAATTACCATATAAATCAAATTTATATCAAATTTATTTATATGGATAATTGTGATATAATTAAAAATTAAAATAAAATTAAATATTATATCACAACGGGTCCTTGGTCTTTATGAGTCCAAATACGTTTTCTTGTGAGACTGCAATAATAATAATTAAAAATTAAAAATATATTTCTTTCAGATCGAACATTTCGTTTTACAGCTTTTTGGAAATAAATTGGAAATTGATTTGTGTGGTCTCTTCCATGTTAATAAGGGGCTCTGGTTTCAGATGATGACTGCAGTAATTTCTTATACGATTGTTTTGGTACAGTTTCATTTATTCTTAAGTCAGAAAACAAAGTGAAATTAGAAGACAAAGAGTCGATTTTTGTTTTTTCCCGGAATGAATATTGATAATAATGGACTTGTGAATGCGTATTAAGCAAAATTTTTGGAATTTTCTGTACATTTATTAATAATTAGAATAAATAAATATAAATGAAGTGGTTTTTGGATTTTTTTTACTTTCGATTGTAAAATGTCTTAATTGAAAATTCTGTTGGTAATTAAAATTAAACAAACAATAGCATTCCTAGAAATTTCACAAAACTTTCTGACACACAAAAGCTTCTTCACATGCAATAATCAACTTATGCTAATGGAAACGGCTAAATCTAAATTTGATTAATTTAAGCTGCGGTGGGAACATGATATAATATAATATAATATAATATAGTTTGAAGGAAATTATTATTATTGTTGCCAAAATTTGAAGTAAGATATGGATTAGTTACAGAATATAGATTTTCATGACAATAAAATTCTTTCTCTAGGATATTTATACAACTCAAATACAACAATACATTTTAATTAACACTTTTTAATAGTTTTTCATAATAACATATTATATCCAAATAAAGTAAAGTGGTTGTCTTTATTTCAATATCAGGAAAATCTTTAATTTAAAACAATTGATTAATTAACTTCTATATAAGAGTAAGCGTAAAAATCAGTTATGATAAAGTATTAAAATTTATAAATTTAAATTGAAATGTTACTTATGTTTATTGTAAATTATTTAAGTTGAGTTCGAATTGTATAAGAGTTATGAAATACGAGAATGCTGTAGCTGCGATTAAATAGGCCAAGTGAAGATCCAATTTGAAGAGACCACAAATGCGCAAATCGATTTTGCAGCTTAAAAGTTTTAACATAAAGTTTTCAATCTGGAATTATTATAAAAACAGAAAAATATAAATATATGTATTTATAATTATTTTTTGGAATATCATATCATAATATATATATTTTCCTAGTTCAATAGCATTTATAACATAGACTAACAGAAAACCAACATTTCTTCAACTCCAAACTGCAAAATTTTTTTAACATGCCATGATTACCTCATTTCTCTATTTGAAGGCAATTTAAATTAATAAAATGAATTTCGATTCTTCAAATGCAAGGACTTAATAAACATTTGAAACTAGTTATATTTATTTTTTCAGATCGAATAATTTTACATGTTATAAAATTTAATAACACTCGCACCATTCGAATCAAATTTCTATAAGCTTTAAAAATTATGATCACTATATCTGAGTAACCGAGTAATTACCTCGACGAAACGAGTACTAATTAATAGCGGATAGGGTTAGTAGGATACCTGAAAGTATGAATTCATACTCACAAGAGTACGGCAAGAAGATTAATACTTTCATATAAGTACAAGTATTTTTAAGCAAAAATACATGGAATTTTTTATTGCATATAATAATTACAGTTATTTAGGACCAGATCTCTTTATCTCGATACGAAGTGTTAATTAGACAAATATCGAAAGAAAGTATCGAATTCAAAACTGCATACTATCTGAAGTATTTATTTGTAAAAGTATTTTTTTGGAATGGTGGAATGATTGTTGAATGTTTTCCCAATATATTTTAGAAGATAATGTTGGCTGGAACGTTATAGATAATGCGGATCGCTTTAGATTTAATTATTTCCTTGTGCTTCAACTATATGACATTAATATGCAACAGCTATGGTTTTCTATGGATATTGCAGTGTCTTAAACAGCGCAAAATAGCATACTCCTATCAGGTTATATCAGAAAATAAGTGAAGAGCGCATAATGATGGGTATTTGACAATACTTGATACAGCTGTATGGTCAGCCAAAAATTCAATTAATCAAATAATATAAAAAACAATTTTTGTTGTTGTAGTTCACTACGTTTAGAAAAACCGCTTTAGAAAAAGTTTCGTAATTTTGCTTTCATTTACATGGAATCTCATCACTTCCATTTATTTGTTATAAAAATATGTGAAGGCGTTGATCTATATATTTGCGTTAATAATTTTCTGTGGCGATATGTTAAGTCGTTGGTTTACTCAGATAAACCACTTGGAAATTAAACTTTCAGAGTCAGGCAGGGTGCATATATAGCCGGAGTCATATTCAAATATTAACGTCATATAACTATCTTATCAACACTTCAAAATTTGTAGAGTATTTGGTTGAAACCTAAATTTTAGAATGTTACGCAAACTACTTAATATATCTCCAACTCTTTCCAAACTTTAAATAAACTTACCGTTTGGTCTAAACGTATATCTAGATTCGAACTCTCATTAAATAATCTCATGGTTTGTTTAATGCTCTTTAACTCCTCATGTAGGCTATCACTAGTCAAAATCACAATATAGGTGTCCAAGTAGAAAGCAAGTGCATGTATAGTGCTAAGCAAAATCACAATTGTATACTCGCTCAACTTATGCTTAACAAATAAACTGTATATTGTGTAGCAATTAGTTAAGTTACTTATTAATGTGGTTAAAACCAGGCCCAACATCTGCCACTGATGCATGTGTACACTACTGGAATATAACTCATATATCTCATGGTAACGTTGAGCTAATATATCTAAACGATCACAGAGCATTACACAGAGTTGCATGGTCATACCTCGTTGTCCTGCTTGTCTATTAAACTTGTAAACCTGATAACTCTTATGTGTCAACTGTTTCAGTTGAACGTGCAATTGACGACAAAATTTCAAGGCGCTGGCATTCATAAAGAAAAAATAATCCGCCATATTTTCGGTATAATTCCAAAGCACAAAAGTGTAAATGGTGAATTGGGCACGTGCTGTTGGTGCACCTGTACAATATTGATATAATATATGAGCCAACTGTACTCCCATTGTGGAGTTTATTAGTCCAAACTTAAAAAGGAGCATCGTTTCAAAACGACGCTTGGGTACGTCTGTCTGATAGTCATTGGAAGGTGCATCAAAGATATCCTCCAAACGCTGTCGAGTACTCGTTATCTCATAAATGTGGTCGTAATGCGCATGATTTGCAATGTAAGTTATTACCACAACAATATATTTGAAAACAGTATTACCCACATTTACTACCAATTCGAGTTGCCAGATTCCATCAGAGTTGGCGATTAAATCATTCATATTTTTAGTAAAATAAATTGGCAATAAAACGATGAGTAAAAAACTAAATGCATGACTATAGTACGATATAAGTCGTTGGGCAAATGTGTTAGTCGACCGTTGCGGTATATAATTGATCATACTCAGACCAAGCAAGGTTGCATATACGTATCCATATTTGAAAAGATTATGTCTGTGTCTCTCCCAGAAAGTCTTCTCCATTTTTTTTTATTGTTGGCGTGTGATTTGTTGCTATTTTTTGTATAAATGCGTTATTGTCCGTATTCGCACACTTCAAAACATTTATTTACGTGACTAATGTTAAAATAATACTGTCAGAATAATATCAAAGCATATTGTAATCCAAGAGTAATCCTAGTCCATTGCATGTTTTAATAAGAGTAATATATTTAATTTGCAATTCCAATAATTTTTCTATAAACACATACTACATTGCGTGTTATGCGCATAATTGATAAGGACATGACATAAAATTTTGTATTAAACTTAAGAAATGTTTATGTTAAAATGTAATAAACATGAAAAGTGATATTCGTGGTATGTAAATATTTTTATAAATATATATTGGGCATATACTCGTATACATATACTCAGCGTAATATACTCGCAAAATAAAAACAACATATACAGTGCAGCGGAAAAGATTAAGACCAACTCAATATATTCCAATACACAAATTTCAAGGGGAAATAACGCCAAACACGTAAATATTTTAATTAATCGAATTTGTTTTTCAAATATGGATATTACCATCACACTAATTCCAATTCCAGCAACAATCTTTTAGCTCACTACGCTCAAAAATCTTGCGAAAGATCGATTGACAGATCTTTCGTATTCAGGCAGCGGTCTTTTGCAAGCCTGAAAGCTCTTTTCGGGTTTTCTAAAGGCCAAATGAAAGATCTGGTATTGATCACATCATTCGATTGTCATTCGATTTTTTATGATGAAAATTTTTTTATATAAAATAAAATATATAATAATTATAAAAAAAATTAAGAAAGAAATAGAACAAAACAGTTTTCTACCACGAGTTGATAAAACTTTTTTTGAAAGACTTTTGTGCTACAACAACTTAACACTTACGAACGGTTTTCCGGTCGATTTTAAAAAATCTTATGAAAGACTATTACCAAATTTTACCAGAAATGTCCTACAAATATTGACTCTAAGTAATAATGTTGTTGCTTACATTGGGCCGCTTTATGACATACAGTATATGTTAGAGAGTTTAACATATAGTACAAATTTAATGCATATCGATTCAGCGGTTAGGGACAACATTGAGAACCTACAGAAAACATCTTAATTTATTTATATATATGTATATAAATATAGATAATTTAAAATTTCTTGTCTATAAATTAAAAAACTTTAAATGCCCATACAGTATAAAAAAAATTGAAATTATTAAATTAGTTTTAAAAATATTTTGTTTTATTTTTATCAATATTTGGACTGTGGTCTATAGTTATTTTGATGATATTGATATAATAAAAATTTTAATAACATAGTAAGAAATTTAATAAATCTATATATGTATTTGTCATATGATTGTTTTTTATATAAGTTATAAAAGGCTTAAACATACGATTATGATAAAGTTTGTACGGATTAAAAATAATCTCGGTCCTGTACCAGACCGTTTCAACTCTGGATTTTTTTTGGCAATACTTAAAGGTAATTTAATATATTAAGTTATATAAAAGCTATATATATATTAAAACTATATATATATAAAGTTGAAAACATATTTTGTCAATAATGTTTTTGAAATCAATTTTAAGTTCGTACTTTAAATTTAATATATACAGGAACAGCACAATCATTATTAAGAATTATATATTTATATATATTATCTAAACTTTTTTAGAATTATAAAAAATTATTGATTT